ATATTTTTTTTGAGACATAGTTTTGCTCTTGTTGCCCAGGCTGGAGTGCAATGGCACGATCTCCGCTCGCTGCAACCTCCATCTCCCAGGTTCTAAGCGATTCTCCTGCCTCAGCCTTCTGAGTAGCTGGGATTATAAGTGTGCACCACCATGCCCGGCTAATTTTTGTATTTTTAGTAGAGACAGAGTTACACCACCTGGGCCAGGCTGGTCTAGAACTTCTGACCTCAGGTAATCTACCCTCAGCCTCCCAAAGTGCTGGGATTACAGGCGTGAGCCACCCTGCCCAGCCGGATTTTTAAAATTATTGAGTTGTAGGAGTTCTTAATATAATTCTAGATACAAGTCCTTTGTGTGATGTATGTTTTGTATATATTTTCTTCTAGTGTGTGACTTTCCTTTTCATTTTTGCAACAGTGTGTTTTAAAGAACAAACACACATAATTCTGATGCAGTTCAATTTATCAAATTTTTCTTTTTACAATTCATGCTTTTTATAAGATATTTTGCCAGACTTGAAGTCACAAAGATTTTCTCCTTTGTCTTCTTGAAAACGTTTTATATCTTTAGCTCTTACATTTAGGTCTAGGATGCATTTCGAGTGACTTTCTGTATATAATGTGAAGTTTCAAGGTTCATTTTTTTCTAAAACATACAGCTGTGAAGTCATTTCAGCACTTTTTGTTGAAAAAAGTTTATCTAAACTTTTGTTGAAAACTCAATTGGCTGTACATGTGTGGGTCTATTTCTGGAGTCTGTTTTTCATCCATTGATCTATCTGTCCATCTTTATGCAGATTCCACAGTCTTGATTACGGTAGCTTTATACCTCTTGAATCCTCTGACTTTGTTCTTCAAAACTGCTCTGGTTGTTCTGAGTTGTTTGCATTTTCATATTAATTTTAGAATTGGCTTGTCAATTCTACCAGAAAAGCCTGTTGGGATTTTAATTGGGTTTGTGTTACATCTGTAGATCAATTTGGGGAGAATTGACATCCTAACAATTACATTAGTTTGGGTTTTCTCAGGGGTCTTCTGTTTCCAGAGAAACAGAACCAATAGTATATCTATCTGTTTGTACGTAGTTAGTCTGATAGATATGAGAGAAGATTTATTGTTGGGATTGGCTCCTGTAATCAGGAAGGCCAAGAAGTCCCATGATGTGCAGCGTGCAAGCTGGAGACGCAGAGAGCGTCTGAGGGCCTGAGTACTGGGTAGGGGTGGAAGAATGCTGGTGTCTGTTCCAGAGTCTGATGGCCCAAGAACCAAGAGCTCTAGTGTCCAGGGGTAGAAGAAGGTGAATGACCCAACTCAAGGAGACAGAGAGAGAGAGAGAATTCACCCTTCCTCTGCATTGTTACCCACCCACATTTATGAGGTTGGATGTCTTTACTCTGTCTACTGATGTACATTCTAATCTCGGCCAGGTGCAGTGGCTCACATCTGTAATCCCAGCACTTTGGGAGGCCAAGGTGGGCAGATCACAAGGTCAGGACATCAAGACCATCCTGGCTGACATGGTGAAACCCCGTCTCTACAAAAAAAAAAAATACAAAAAATTAGTCGGACATGGTGGCACGTACCTGCAGTCCCAGTTACTGTGGAGGCTGAGGCAGGAGAATTGTTTGAACCCAGGAGGTGGAGGTTGCAGTGAGCCCAAATTGCGTCACTGCACTCCAGCCTGGGTGACAGAGCAAGACTCTGCCTCAAAAAAAAAAAGTCTCTTCCAGAAACACCCTCCCAGATACACCCTGAAATCATGTTTTACCAGCTACTTGGGCATCCCTTAGTCCAGTAAAGTTGACATGTAATAGTGACCATCACAATATCAAGTCTTTCACTCCATGAACGCATGTGTCACCCAGTTTGTTCAGGTCTTTAATTTCTCTTGCCAGTGGCGCATAGTTTCCAGTGGACTGTTCTTGTTTATATCTAAATATTTCTTTTTTTTTTTTTTTTTTTTTGAGACAGAGTTTCGCTCTTGTTACCCAGGCTGGAGTGCAATGGCACGATCTCGGCTCACCGCAACCTCTGACTCCTGGGTTCAGGCAATCCTCCTGCCTCAGCCTCCCGAGTAGCTGGGATTACAGGCACGCGCCACCATGCCCAGCTAACTTTTTGTATTTTTATTAGAGACGGGGTTTCACCATGTTGACCAGGATGGTCTCGATCTCTTGACCTCGTGATCCACCCGCCTCGGCCTCCCAAAGTGCTGGGATTACAGGCTTGAGTCACCGCGCCCGGCCTATATCTAAATATTTCATATTATGCTATTTTAAAGGATTATTTTCTAAAATTTTAATTTCTGATGGTTCATTGCTGGTATATAGAAATCAATTTTTATACATAAATTTTGTATCCTGAAAGCTTGCCAAACTCAATTAGTAGTTCTCGTGGGCTTTTTTAGCTAATGTAGATGACAGGGCGTTGGATGCAGCAAACCCCCACCATGTCACGTGTGTACCTATGTAACCTGCACGATCTGCACATGTACCGCAGAACTTAAAGTATAATAAATAAATACACACATAAAAAAAGAAAGCTCACATCCCTGCCTTACTTTGAATCTTAGGGAGGAAGCATTGCTCTTCACTACAATGTGTGATGCTGACTGTAGGTTTTTGGTTTGCTGTGTCTGTACATGCCTTTAATCAGATTGAGGAAGTACCTTTTCCTTCCTAGTTTGCTAAGAGTTTTTCTGACAAATGATTATTGAATTTTACCAAATGCTTTTTCCACATCTGTGGAGCTGGTCATATGGGTTGTCACCTTTATTTGGTTAATGTTGATTCATTTTGTAATGAATTACAGTAATTGAGTTTTGAATGTTGAAGATCGGAAAACAGTATTTCATATTCCCCACCCCCAGTTTTATAATTAACGGCAGCAGAGCAAGTGCTGTGCTGTCATGGCTGAGAGCAGTCGCTCAAAACCAGCTCTGCTACAGGCTACAGCCGCACAGGCAGATATGAGCAGCAACCGAGGGTCACCAGCTGAAAGACGTGACCAAAGGAAAGCATCAGCAAGAAGCAACCTGGAGGGAATGACACTGTGGGAAGAGAAGAACAATGTAAAAATACCATCACAGACCCACTCAAAGCAGTAAGAGATCCTTCTATCAGAACAAGCAGCCGTGAAACAGGAACAGGAGTTCTTAGAACATAAAATATTACGGCAGAAATGAAAAACTCAATAGGAAAGCTGGACATGAAATATGATCAATATGGCAGAAGGCAGCACAAAAAAAAATGCAGAGAAAATAGAAGAGAAAAGATAAGAAGAGAAGAGAAAAACCCAGACATTCTGCAAGGAGAGAACAGAAAGGCAGAGGGAAGCATTTCTCAAGGAAACAGTGAAAACATTCTCTGCTTGTCGGGACGGCCCATTGCCCAGAAAAACAGATGGAAACAAACCAAGAGCAAATAGATTACCCTGACATTTCCTGGTGCTAGAGACAGAGGCATGAAGCTGGGGTATGGGGAGGAGGAGCTGTCTAGGAAGCACGGGAAAAAAGTCTCTTTTAACTTCTCAGTAGCAGTTTTGAGAGTGAGAGAACCATGGAGCGAGTCCTGCAGAATTCTCCACCCCGTGTGCTGAAAATCACAGTATTCCTTTGGCCAAGAAGATAATTTGCAGGACCTGAGAAGCAGACGGAATGTAGTAGTCGTTACTTTCTGAAAGTCTCTGATTGATCACAGGGTGCTTCAGAAGTGCCCAGTGGGTTCCAGCTTATTTTCAGTCTTTCTTCACCCACACTCTTCTTCCTGCCAGCCCCACTGACCCACCTGCAGCCCCAGGTCTGTCTCAGAGGCAATGGCTTCTTCCAGACTCTCCCTCAAACCCCTCTGGCTTGTTCTCACATCTATGGCTGGATACCCTTGGCTTCAGGGGTGTTCCTGCAAGCCCTGACTTGTCCACCTGTGTGGACAACGGGTGGCTAGTGACTCTCTGACCATCTGGACCTTTCCTTTTCCAACCCCTCCCACTATTGTGCAAGGTCTAATTTCTTTTCCCTTCCCTCCCCTCCCCTCCACTCCCCCTCTTTTCCTTCCCTCCCTGTTCCTTCCTCTCTCCCTCCCCCCACTCTCTCTTTCCCTCCCTCCCTCCCTCCCTCCTTCCCTTCCTTCCTGCCTGCCTGCCTGCCTGCCTTCTTTTCTTGCCTGAGTGCAGTGGCACAATCTTGGCTCACTGCAATCTCTGCCTCCTGGGTTCAAGTGATTCTCCTGTCTCAGCCTCCTGAGTAGCTGGGACTACAGGTGCACACCACCACACCCAGCTAATCTTTTGCATTTTTAGTAGAGACGGGGTTTCACCATATTGGCCAGGCTGGTCTCAAACTCCTGACCTCAAGTGATCCTCCTGCCTTGGCCTCCCACAGTGCTGGGATTACAAGAGTGAGCCACCTCACCTGGCTCAAGGTCTAATTTCTGCAGTAAATCCCCACAGCATCCATACTAGCTCTGCTCCCTAACCAATCACTGTGTGATAAAATTTTTGGCATCTTTTAGAAGCGTTTTGGGGAACAGAAACATATGCATAGAAATCTGGAATTGATTTTCTGGCTTTAAATCTTTAAAGGCATCAACAACCCCATGGCCAGAGGCAAGTAGGAGACTCATCATCCATGGCATATGTTGGTAAAGCAGCTACTCAAATCATCACCCAGAATCTCCCAGACCAGGTGCCTATAGAGGCAAGGCTTTGAGTGATGGAGAATCTGCAGCCAAGAACGTTTTAGTGGCCATGAGGAATAGACGGACTGTGGGTCTGGCAGGTGACATGTAAGTGAATGGGGAATTTGGAGAATGAAATGACAGCTCAGTCCCAGCACAAGGTCCAGGTTGGGAACCTGAATGTGCCTCTGATTTCCTGGAAAGCATCCTCATGTGTTGTAGCCACAGGATTGAGAGATTTCTGAAAACCAATCCCAAAGTGTCATCTTATAGTGAATTCAGTTTAAGACAGCACCTAAATTCACAAAGTCTCTTATATTTATATTAGAATGATTGGGAGAAAGCAAGACTCAGAATCGGATGAGACATAGATCACCACCTGCGGAAGCCTGGCCTGCAGACCCTGACTCGCGATGGGTGAATGAAGGTACTCTCACACTGTTACAGTGATAGAGGTGGGCTAGGGATGGCCGTTGGCTGCTTTCAGAGGGCGAAATGCAACCAATAGACCAAGACCCCCTCTCCATCGTTATATTTATTCAGTAAAAGATTTCATAACAGAGGTTCTAAGTCAGCACACTTGTGGATAATTCACATGGTTAAAGAGTGGTTATACGAATGATAAAAGTGTTAGTTTCCAGGCCCAGAGGAAACACTCTTAACAGGTAATTCCCCTTTGATCTCCCCTGAGAGGACCATCCAGCACAAAGTTTACATGAGTAAACAGAGTGGAGACAAAGGGATGTGGGGTAAACAGACTTAAACTGGGACAGCTTCTTAGCGTCTCTATCTTATCCCTAACTTAATGGACCTGCTGCCTTTGGCCTGTCCCAATAAAACCTTTCCTCCTTCCAAAAGATTTGAGACTAATCTATAACATTCCCTAATATATCATTGATATTTTGGCAGCCACCCCAAGTGGATATCAACAGTTGGAATGAGGTGATACCTGGGCAGATTGAATGAAACTGATGAAACTGAGCACCTGAATCCTGCTGCATCCTCCTCTCAGAGGCAGCCCCTCCTCCTGTGTGTGCAGAGGTCTGTCTCCCGTCACCTGGGAGCCTGTGATGACCTCTCCTGAGCTGGCTGATCCCGGCCACCTCTCATTTCTTCTACACCTATCACTAGACTCACATCCAGTTGGCTCCAGGGGGCTGGATAGGACGAATGACCAGGAGGAAGTATACACAGGAGCAGCTTGGATGTACTGCACGTTTGGTCCCAGACCATCACAGTGAAGACAGAGTCACAGTAAAGCAAGTCACACAAATGTGTTGGCTTCTCAGCACAGAACTGGGAAATGGTGCCCAGATCCATTAGGGGCATCACTCCCTATGGCAGCTGGAGCCTTAGGAAATGTATTTCTTAAATAATAAGACGTGAAAGTCAAAACCACTCCTTGATCCAAGGGCTGCAGAATGGATGAAGTGTTAGGAGGCGTGAAAACAACATTCTTAGACGTCCCCATCAGGGTTCTTGGGTGAGGTATGCAGAGTCAGTCAACAGTAACATTTTCAAAGGAATCTTTTTCAGAGCTGTAGGTCTCAATAGTGGGCTTCAAATAATGTAGCAAGCCATCTGTAAACAGACGTGCTGTCACCAGACTTAGTTCCATGTATAGAGTACAGGCAGAGTGGATATAGCACCATTTTTTTTTTTTTTTAAGATGGAATCTTGTTCTGTCACCCAGGCTGGAGTGCAATGGCATGATCTTGGTCACTGCAACCTCTGCCTCTCAGGTTCAAGCAATAATCCTGCCTCAGCCTCCCAAATAGTGAGATTACAGCTGCCCACCACGATGACCAGCTAATTTTTGTATTTTTAGCAGAGAAGGGGTTTCACTGTGTTGGCCAGGCCGGTTTCGAACTCCTGACCTCAGGTGATCCACCTGCCTTGGCCTCCCAAAATGCTGGGATTGCAGGCATGAGCCACCACTCCCGGCTGGTATAGCATCATTCTTAAGGGTCCTAGAATTTTCAAGATTTTCAGAATCACACATTAACATTGGCCTCAGCTTAAAGTCAACCAGCTTCACTAGCCCCTCACAAGAGAGTCCATCTGTCCTCTGCAGCTTCAAAGCTAGGCCCTGACTTCTCTAGCTACACACTAGATGGCATTTTCTTCCAGTAGAAGGCTATTTTACTTACACTGGAGATCTGTTGTTTAGTGTAGCCACCTGCATCGATGATCTCAGCGTGGTCTTCTGGAGAACTTGCTGTAGCTTCTCCATCAGCATTTGCTGTTTCACCTTGCACTGTGTTATGGAGATGGCCTCTTTCTTTCCTATGTTGTGGCTTGTGCCACTTGGATCACTCAGACCACATCAGCAAGAAGGCTGTTTTTTGTTTTTTTTTTTTTGAGATGAGTCTCGCTATGTCATCCAGGCTGGAGGGCAGTGCTGAGATCTCAGCTTACTGCAGCCTCTGCCTCCCAGGTTCTAGTGATTGTCTTGCCTCAGACTTCTAAGTAGCTGGGATTATAGGCGTGTGCCACCATGCCCAGCTAATCCCAAAGTGCTCGGATTACAGGTGTGAGCCATCGCACCTGGCCACAAGGTCTAATTTCTGCAATAAGTCCCCATAGCATCCATGCTTGAAGGAAATTAAAAGTGCTACTCTAGGCTAGGCACAGTGGCTCACGCCTGTAATCCCAGCACTTTGGAAGGCCGGGGTAGGCAGATTACCTGAGGTCAGGAGTTCGAGACCAGCCTGGCCAACATGGTGAAACTCCAGCTCTACTAAAAATACAAAAATTAGCTGGGCATGGTGGCATGTGCCTGTAATCCCAGCTACCCAGAAGGCTGAGGCAGGAGAATTGCTGGAACCTGGGAGGCGGAGGCTGCAGCGAGTTGAAATTGAGCCACTGCATTCCAGCCTGGGCCACAGAGTAAGACTTTTTCTTTTCATTCACAACCTGGCTAACTGGCCCAAGAGGCCTAGCTTTCGGCCTCTCTCAGCCTTCCTCACCAAGCTTTGCTGTTTCTAGCTTTTGGTTTAAAGAGAGGGATGTGGACTCTTCCTTTCTTTCTTTTTTTTTTTTTTTTTTTGAGACGGAGTTTCACGCTTGTTACCCAGGCTGGAGTGCAATGGCGCGATCTCGGCTCACCGCAACCTCCGCCTTCTGGGTTCAGGCAATTCTCCTGCCTCAGCCTCCTGAGTAGCTGGGATTACAGGCACGCGCCACCATGCCCAGCTAATTTTTTTATATATTTTTTAGTAGAGACGGGGTTTCACCATGTTGACCAGGATGGTCTCGATCTCCTGACCTTGTGATCCACCCGCCTCGGCCTCCCAAAGTGCTGGGATTACAGGCTTGAGCCACCGCGCCCGGCCGACTCTTCCTTTCATTTAACACATAAAGGCCACTGTAAGGTTATAATTGGCCTATTTGTAATATTATTGTGTCCCAGGGAATAGAGAGGCGTGAAGAGAGGAAAAGAGACGAGGGCAAGCCTGGCAGGTGGGACCCTGAGAACACACCTGACCATGCTCCGTTAAGTTTGACATCTTTTGTGGGTGTGGTTTGTGGTGCCCCCAAACAATGACAATAGCAACGTTAGGGATCACCAAAGGCATAGTCACCACACTAGGCAAGGAACCCAGTCGCAGTGCTTGCTTTGGGCAGAGGAAATACGGGACGAATTCTGGAGGGGAAGCAGGGGAGTCTCTACACACCAGCCATAGCCATGTGAGCAGTGGTGGAAGGGAAGGGGGCAATTAGGAGCACTGATTCCTATGCTGTTGTTACTAACATTTTCAACCATATTAACCAATTTTTTTTTTTTTTTTTTTTTTTGAGATGGAGTTTTGCTCTTGTTGCCCAGGCTGGAGTGCAATGGCGAAATCTCAGCTCACTACAACCTCGGCCTCCCAGGTTCAGGTGATTCTCCTGCCTCAGCCTCCCAAGTAGCTGGGATTACAGGTGCCCACCACAACACCCTGGCAATTTTTGTATTTTTAATAGAGATGGGGTTTCGCCACATTGGCCAGGCTGGTCTCGAACTCCTGACCTCAGGTGATCCGCCCGACTCGACCTCCCGAAGTGCTGGGATTACAGGCATGAGCCACGGCACCTGGCCCTCATATTAACCAGTTCTTCCTTCCATTCTCCTACTATATCATATAAGCTATGTTCATCGGGACTGTTCTTACGTCTTGATATTGAAGTCATGGGATGTCAAAGAGGGAGATTGTCCCCTTCACAGATGGAGAAAATCTTTTTGGGGATGAGAGGGTGGAAGATTAGCACAATTTTGATTTTAATAAGGAACAGTTGCATCATGTGAGGAGTCAGCCTGATTTCATTGCTGTCTTTATTAGGAAGTTAAATTTAGTGAGAAGAGGTTTGTCTGGATGGCAGGCTGACAACTTGCGGGCTGTTGGCAGGCAAAAGCAAGCAGGCACCACTCTGAGTGTCTTTGTGGTCAGAGATGGGGAGAGACTGCTGCAGAAGTGCTCCGGGAGTTCCGGGGTGTCCTCACTCTTCCTCCCCCTGCGTCCTGCTTGTGCTCCCCACTGTGGACCCTGCTGCCCAGACAGTGGCCCTGGGTTTCCCACAGAGGTGGCAGCTGCAGAGGCAGCAGCTCCTGCAGGCTCTTGGCCAGACCTCCCCTGGCGCCCTGACCCCTGCAGCTGGATGTGCATGACTTCCGTGACTTCCCTGCAAGCTCTGAGCTGGCCTCCTGGCCCGAGTCTTTCCTGACTCTTCAGCCACCTCCTCCCCAGCTCCTCTCCCTGCTCTTCCTAGGCTTGTGCAAGGTCTCTTTCCTACATGGGCCCCTCCTCCCCTAATGCTCGCTGTGGCTCCTCTTCCTGGATGAACTGGGGCTGGGTTAACCACTCAAACCATTCATCGGCTAGGAGAGTAGAATAAAGATATTGCGAGTTTTGCAATATAGCACACATTTAGCTTGTATGAGCTCTTTTTCGTAAAGCTACTCGAGGATGTTTTCCATCAAAATCAGCAAGAAAAATCAAGAGAGAAAGATAGAGGACAATGGACACAGACAATCCCGCTCAGGAAAAGAAGGAGCGTCTGGGGCACCGGCTTGCACCGAGGCATCGTGGGCCACAGCCCAGCAAGAGCCTGAGCCTGCCGGGAGCTCTGGGGGAGAGCTTCAAGGAGAGAATGGCTCGAGGGGCAGACAATTCACAGGGAGTTTGGTAACAGGAACTTGGGAACAAGCTAAGAACAAAACAAAGCAAGGAATATTAACTTTGGAAAGACAGAATGTTGTGTAAGGAAGGGTCCAGAGCATAGTGTTCTCTGCAGTCAGCTGTGAGTAGCATTCTTGGAGTCATTGTTATGTGAACGCTGATGATTGATTCTTTTTCTTTTTTTTTTTTTTTTTAAGACAGAATTTCACCCTGTCACCCAGGCTGGAGTTCTGTGGTGCGGATCTTGGCTCACGGCAACCTCTGCCTCCTGGGTTCAAGCGATTCTCCTGACCCTGTCAGGGGGAAGCAAGAGGAGACCCTGCTGGCATCACCAGTGAATCTGGGTCAAGCCATACCTGAAGCCAGTCAAGCCAGTGCCCTCTGCATTTTAGGAGCTAGTAAGTTGCACTTTTTCCTGAAGTCTGTCTGAGCTGGGTGTTGACCTGGCCAGTAACACACATCACACTGCATTCTTGCATCCACTCAGCGAGGTGCCGCTTGATCTCTAGTTTACCAATGTGGGCAGTGAAGGTCCAAGAGGAGAGCGTCATGTCTGCTCCCTCCTGTCTCTGTGACCCTCACATATGACGTAGGGCCTAGGGCATGAGCAGGGCTATCACTGTCTTGAGGCCTGTGGCCCTCACCACTGACCACCTGTGTTGTGAGAAGTAGAAAATTTCCTCTTCAAAGTTTCCTCTCTTTTTTTTTTTGAGACAGAGTTTCGCTCTTGTTACCCAGGCTGGAGTGCTGTGGTGCAATCTCGGCTCACCATAACCTCCGCCTCCTGGGCTCAGGCAATTCTCCTGCCTCAGCCTCCCAAGTAGCTGGGACTACAGGCCCGCACCACCATGCCCAGCTAATTTTTGTATTTTTAGTAGAGACGGGGTTTCACCATGTTGACCAGGATGGTCTCGATCTCTTGACCTTGTGATCCACCTGCCTCGGCCTCCCAAAGTGCTGGGATTATAGGCGTGAGCCACTGTGCCTGGCCACAAAATTTCCTCTCTTAAGAAAAATTCATAAGTGTTAAAAATCATAGTTCATTTTAAATACTTTCTTCAGAAGGCTTCTTGCTTTTGCTAGAAGCTCTATCCTGTTTAGCTGTTAGACACGCCATGCTTACAGGCATACAGTACACTCTATGTCCTTGTACTTTAACCAAGATATCCCTGCTGGGCGTGCTCACAGGAATGTCCCAGCTCGCCACTGCTTTTACCTGTTTAGAAAAGTTTCAAGTTCTTACCAATTAGGTTTTTGTGAGGTCTGGCTCCAGCCAATGGAAATCAGACACAGCAGTAAGGATGACCCCAAATGCATAAGGAATAAATTTGTGTGTTTTCCTTTGTTCGTTGTACTCTCATGGCAAGATGGCTAGCAGGGTACCCTTCCTGCAGCCCAGGAAGTAAAAATTGTGTTGCTGAAATGTTTGTCCCAGTGCTGATTTTTCTTTGTGGCACTGAGAATCTATTTCTAATATCTGTGCTTCTCCTTTCTCTAAGAAGCCCCTTGGTGGGAGAAGCCATCCTTGCTCTGGGGCAGATGCCTGCAGATACCTCAGCCTTGGTTGCTCTTAATTCCAGCAAGACAGGACTCCCACTCGGAAGTTTTCTTTACTGTGAGTGGGACTTTGGATAATTTCACAGAGAACTCCAAACTCTCACGCCTCTGTGTGACCTTGATCAAGTTCATTGACCTCTCTGTGTTTCACTTTTCCCATCCATAAAATGAAGTGGGTGGATCAGACCAGCACTATAATAGAAATGGAATTTGAGCCACATACAGAATTTGAAGTTTCCTAGAAGCCATATTTAGAAAAGAAATAGGTAAAATATTTTAGTAATACATTTTATTTAACTCAATATATCCACAATATTGATATAACATGGACTCTAGGTAAGTTACTAATGAGACATTTTGCAATTTTTTTTTTGACATAGAGTTTCACTCTTGTTGCCCAGGCTGGAGTGTGATAGCGTGATCTTGGCTCACTATAACCTCCGCCTCCTGGGTTCATGCAATTCTCCTGCCTCAGCCTCCTGAGTAGCTGGGATTACAGGCATCGACCACTACACCCAGCTAATTTTTGCATTATTAGTAGAGACGAGGTTTCATCATGTTGGCCAGACTGGTCTTGAACTCCTGACCTCAGGTGATCCACATGCCTTGGCCTCCCAAAGCATTGGGATTACAGGTGTGAGCCACTGAACCAGGCCCATTTTGTAATTTTTTGTTGTACTGAGCCTTCAAAGTCTGATTGTGTATTTTACACCTGAAGCATATCTCAGTTTGGACCAGTCACATTTCCAGGGCCACGATAACCACGTATGTTTAGTGGCTGCTACTGTTGCGGCTAGTGCCAGAATAGACAGACGGTTTCACACTTTTTAATTCTGTTTTAAGCAACAGGACTATTCTTTGAATTGTGACTTTGTTCAGAGTCCCGTCATGCAAATGGACAGAAAAGGGCTTCTCTGAGTGGCCAGGGTCTTGTTCAGCCTCTTCCTCTCTCCTGTCCCCAACACTGGTCCCCAGCAGCCTGAGTGTCCTCACCCTATGCAGGGCTCCCAGGAACACTGTTTGGAAATCACTGTTCTCAGCGACCTGCAAGGGCCCTGACTGTTTAAACGTAGAGAAATGTAGATACAGAGAAAGGTGGGGATTTTTCTCTCCCAAACTCCACTTTGGTTGAGCAAGAAAACTCTGGAAATCTATTTGTATGCATTCATTCATTGAATGAGTCAGCCTGGGATAGGCTACGCCGCATTAACAAATGAGTCTGTAACTCTCAGTGGCTTAATGCCCTGTTGCTTTCTTTCTCATGAAGGGCTTAACACAAGTGGGAAGCTCTCCGGGGTGGTATCCTCCATACGGTGACTCAGGGACCCAGCCAGACCACTTTCATGTTTTCCAGTGAGGAGGAGGAGGAGAGAGCTGGCCATGGCCTGGTTGTGCATACCACCCTATCCCATTGGGCAGAGCTCAGAAACTTACCTTAGTGCAAGGGGCGCTGTGGGTTGGAGTATTCCTGGGACTGGGAAGAGGAGGGACGCTTCCAGCGAGGGGCCCTGCCCGCCCCAGGGCCTTTGCCCATTCTCTCTCCTCTGCTTGGAATGCTCTTCCTTTCCCTTTTCTGCAGATTAAGTTCTGCTTATCTCTGGCTAGATGCGGTGGTTCACACCTGTAATCCCAGCACTTTGGGAGGCTGAGGTGGGTGGATCACCTGAGGCCAGGTGTTTGAAACCAGCCTGGCCAACATGATGAAACCCCATCTCTACTAAAAACACAAAATTTGGTTGGGCATGGTGGCTGAAGCCTGTAATCCCAGCTCCTCAGGAGGCTGAGGCAGGAGAATCACTTGAACCCAGGAGGCAGAGGTTGCATTAAGCCCAGATCGTGCCATTGCACTCCGGCCTGGGTGACAAGGCGAGACTCGGTCTCAAAAAAAAAAAAAAAAAAAAAAAAAATTCTGCTTATCCTAGGTCAAATGTCACTTCCTCAGGGAGGGTAGGGGCCCGGGGGCCAGGCAGAGCTGGGTCCTGCAGGCACAGTCACCCACCACACATGGCAGGCTCACTTGGGCAAGGAAACTGAAGGGTTGCCCTCGGGAGGTACAAGGACGTGATTTGCATTTGAAAACAATCTCCTGGACCGGATGGAGAGCTGATAATGATACTTCTATTTTTAAGAAAGGCCAACTCTCTCAGTGCCCCAAGGGAAGTGCAACTCTGCGTGATGTCAGCTTTGATGAACAATCTTGTCTCCACCGAAATGTTGTACGGATGCCCCAGGACAAGGCTGATACATTATTCAGCCTCACAGCTGTCTGGGCGGAGGGACCCCGGCTGTTTCCTCATGAGCTGCCTTTGCTAGGCCAGGGCCCGAAGAGGAGCCCGGGGAGGCCAGTGCTGACAGGGAGCAGAGACTGAGGCAGCCTTGAGTCTTCTCGGCTTTTTAGCCAAGGGCCTGAGCCCCGTCACTTCTTTTGTGTTCATGGACCTTAATGAATACTGACGGCGGGTGGCCCAGGCCCTGAGCCACAGACGGGAGTCAGAAACAATCCAGAGCTATCTCAGTGTGAGGTGGGGACTGGTGTGCAGACAGCTCAATAGCAGCAGGTAGACAGAGCAACAAGGGGGCATGGGAGCCCAGGTCAGGAATGACAGCCAGGTGGGGAATGCAAGAAAGGGCATGTCCAAGCTGGGTTCTAAAGGATGAGTAGGAGTTCGCCAGGTGGAGGAGGTTACTGAAAGACATCCCTGGCAGGGACCAGCAGGGGCCAAGCTCTGGAGGGTTGCAAGGGCACAGGGCATGGGCATGAGCGGGACAGGATGTGGGATGGCAAAGCTAAGCAGGGGCTGGATCCTGGAGAGCTTTGAACGTCCACGTGCCTGAAGGTGACCCAGACTGAGCTTGAGTTGAAAAAGACAGGCTGGCTGCCATGGCTCATGCCTGTATTCCCAGCACTTTGGGAGGCTGAGGTGGGTGGATCACCTGCAGTCAGGAGTTTGAGACCAGCCTTGACAATCTGGTGAAACCCCGTCTCTACCAAAAATGCAAAAATTAGCCAGGTGTGGTGTTAGACACCTGTAATCCCAGCTACTTGGGAGGCTGAGGCAGGAGAATCATTTGAACCCGGGAGGTGGAGTTTGCAGTGAGCTGAGATTGCGACACTGCACTCTAGCCTGGGTGACAGAGCGACCCTCTGTCTCAATAAAAAAAGAAAAAGACATGGCCTGCCCTCAGGGAACTCCCTAATAGGAGAGGTCTGAGTGACCTGCATACCCTGAAAATTAGGTGGTATCACCCCTGTTTACAGAAGAGGATCTCAACACTCAGAGAGGTCAGGGAATTTACCCAAGATCACACAGTGCGAAAGGCAGCCCAGAGGTGACCCCTAGCTACTGATCACCACCCTGGGCTTCTCTTCTCAGTCATCAGATGGGGGCGCAAGAGCCACTGACTTGCGGAGACGTGGAGAGGTAGGTGGATCTGTGTAACCAGCGCCTAGCACAGGCTGTGCCCTTGAAATCCTCCCTGGCCTCTTCAGCCCGACAAATCCAGGCTCCTGGGGGCATTTTCTCAGGAATGTCTCCCAGGCCAAGTCCCCCTCTAGTGTCACCCTTACTAGCCCCAGAGAGGGTGGAGTTGGGGGGAGCAGTGAGACTTCAACCTGGGCTAAGGATGAGGCTGGTTCAGCCCCAGTAATGATGGCAAGCATCAGTGGAGCCCGTGAGCTGGCGGGGGAGTGGGGGGGTCGCCTTATTACATCAAACCTCAGATTAGGTAAATCCTATCAGTCCTATTTCACAGGTTAGGGGAAACAGACTCAGAGCCCCACCCAAGGTCACACGGCTGGTAAAGGGGGAGCTGGCACCCAAACCGCAGGTCCTGAAGCCAAATCCCATGCTCTTCCCTTCATACTCCCAACCCAGAGGGAGCATTCTTGCATTCACAACACAGAGGTAAGAGGGTGTCCCGGGTGAGAGCAGGGACCTGGAGTCACGCTGCCACTGACTCCTCCAGGCTCTGTTTCTCAGCTGTGTAGCCTTGGACAAGTTACTTAACCTCTCTGTGCAAACTAAGGTGTCAGGAGGTTTTCAGGCAGGCAGGCTGGGTGGGGTGTGGGGACAGTGGAGCGGGTGGGTAGGCAGTGCAGGGCTGAGGCTCACTGAGGCAGGGATGAGTAGTGACAGCTGATCTGTGTGGTGCTGCCTCAGGAGTGGGGCTGGCTGTGGGGTCAGGCCAGGCTGAGGCAGGAGTGGAGTGTGACCTCCGTGGATCCACTGAGCTACTCTCAAATTGAGAGCCATGCTGTCCCCAAGGTGCACCCTCAGCCCAGCCCAGGCCAGCTCTGGAATCTGGATAGTTGTGTAGTTAATGTGCTGCGGGTAAGTGTGGCCTCACCCTCTGGATGAGGCAGGGGGAAGAGACCCCTGCATGCATAGTGGCTGGCAGAGTGAAACATGCTGGTCCTCTCTGTAAGGGAATCTGCCGATTTCTGCTGCAACTACCTGGTGTGCAATGCAGTTTGACCCACCAGCTCCACTAGCAGGAATGTGTCCTGTAAATACCCCTGCCCCCCACCCCACAGACGAGAGCCTCCAGGCAAGGAAATGTACAAAGCATGACTTACAGTAACAAAAAAATAGAAACAGCCCTTGAGTCGATCAATAGCGGGCTGACTGGATAAAGTGTGGAGCACAAAAAAATGTGGGAGCTTGCCATTTGTCAGTAAAACTATGCCCCTGAGCGAACACAGCCAGAGCTGACTGTACGTGGGTCTCTAGTGTGCTACACTCTGTGTAAGAAGGTGGATTTGCTATATTTGCATAAAGAAGCACTTTTGGAAGATGTACAGAGAAATGAATCAGGGGCAGGGGCAGAGTGCGGGAGCCCGCCTAGTGTTATAACATGGAAGTTAATTCATGTTTGGAATGGAGTTATATGTATTGTTTATTTGAAAGCTCAAAAGAGTAAAATAAGAACATTCATTTAAAGGTTCCCCTTAAGAAAAGCACCTGATTTTCACCACGTTCTGTTTTTGCTATGAGCCATGCTTTCAGCCCCGCGTGCCTTGGTGATGCTTCTGGGCCATGGGGAATGTGAGCTGCGAAGTGGAGGCTCATGGGGATCCATGTGGGCAGAGGCAGAGTCTGAGCAGGCGGGATGGCTGCTCCCAGGCCAGGCAATGCTGCTGGAGACTGGAGCGAGGGACGCTGATGTGCAGGACTCCACAGCCTCCCTTTTAAACTGCACAGCAGTGCCTTGAAGGAGGCTCTGCGATGCCCATTTCACAGATGAGTAAACTGAGGCTCCTAAAGGTGAAGCGACTTGCCCAAGGTCACTTGGCTGGGAGGCAGCAGGGTGATGACTGGAACCCTGATCAGTGTTCCTCTGCAGCCTGTGCTGCTGGCCAGGGAGCTGGGACCCAGGAGCCCAGCGGTCACACACAGGGCAGGGGGAAGGGGTGGCTCAGAGCAGCCGAGCACAGCCTCCCACTTCATGCCCACGTGGGTTCTGCCCTGGTCTGTTCAGGCTCAAAGCAGGAGCCAACCTTAGAGGCTCTGATGCATCTGGCTGGGGAAAGGCTGAGCCTGAGAAGGTTCTGGAGGCAGAGCCAGCATGGAGGCATGTCACTGTGGGCAGAACTGAAATGAACAGGTGCAGGGCACAGGCACAGGAGCCCAGTGTGGAGGGGAGGTTGAGGCTTCTCCTGGCCAGGTGCCAAGGAGAGGTGAGGGGCTGGCACTGATGTCCCTTCCCAGGGCCCAATGTCGAGGAGAGGCAGAGCACAGCCTCCTGGACCCCATCTCCCTGTCCACACTGAGAACAACTGGTCCCTTGCTGGTCAATCATTATTTTGTTTCCTTTTTTTTTTTTTTTTTTTTTTGAGAGTGAGTAATGCTTTGTCGCCCAGGCTGGAGTGCAGTGGCACGATCTCAGCTCACTCCTGGGTTCTCCTGCCTCAGCCTCCCAAGTATCTGGGATTACAGGTGCATGCCACCACACCCGGTTGATTTTTGTATTTTTAGCGCAGATGGGGTTTTACCATGTTGGTCAGACTGGTCTTTAACTTCTGACCTCAGGTGATCTGCCTGCCTTGGCCTCCCAAAGTGCTGGGATTACAGGCGTGAGCCACTGCACCCGGCGGCCAACATTCTTAAGGTCTGTCAGGAGTGCATCAGCCTGTGTCTCTCCAGCATGTCCCTCATGTGGTCCCCTTCTGTCTCCCCAGCAGGGCCCCAGTGATGGGAGTTCATCCTTTCTACAAAGCGAAGCACTTGAACCTCTGTGTGTATTCTTTGTCACCAAGGATTTGAGGCTAACAACGTGCTCTTGTTTCTGGCCTAGATTTGTGAAATTTCCCCTGAGGCTGCTACTCTGATGGTTGGCATTTCTGGGCTGACTGCAGGAGGCCATCCTGGTGAGGCTCTTAGCTCTGGCTGGTGAAGCCACTGCCCGGGACACCCAGAATCCTGGCTTCTCCAAGTACAGCAGCCCGCATGGGTACGAGTGCACTGTCTGTGAGCACTGACTGTGTCCCAAGTCCTGGGCAGACCTTGGGTGGGGACATAAGCAGCCCTGTGGCTCTCGTAACTCCTGTGCCCCCAGGCTCCCGGGAAACCCCACATCCTCAGCTTAAAATATGCTAGAAAAACTCCCCGGGATCCTGGTGTCAACACCACCCTCTCTTCTTTACCATCACTTCTTTCCCTGCTTCTTAGTCAATGTTTCCATTCTGCGCTCTATTCACCAATACTTGTTCTGATGCTGGAATTGTGAGGCCTCTCTTCTTGATCAGGCCAACTCCTACTCATCCTTCAAAACCCAGAAATGCCCCCTTCTTTGTGAACCTTTCCCAGTTCCCCCAAGCAGGCACTCCCTCACTCCTGGTGCTGCCAAAACACCCACCAACCCACCCACCTGTCCCTCAAATACTTGTGTCTGCTCTGGGCCATAATCTAAGGAGGCTAAGCAAAGTTAAGCCTAGCCCCTGGCCTTGATCCCTTGCAGACCTCAAGCCCTAGGACTTTTGACTGACTTTCCTCAACCTTTGTTGGCCTTGCTGGTGGAGGAGGCAGAGGTGATGACAGTTGATCACACAGGATGGACAGAGGGAAGAAGGGCAAGGGCTGCGAGCCCAGAGGCAGTGCCCACCGGCATGGTCGACTCAGGAGGGGACATCTGAGAGGAATCTAGTTAGATCTGAAGGCGGACAGCAGGCAAGGGGTGAGAGAAAGGACTTCAGGCAGGGAGAGAGGCCAGCCCAAGCCAGGCCAGGACAGGTGCTGAGGACAGTCCAGGGAGTTGAGTCAAGTTGGGCCAAGGGTGCTGGTTCCATGAGGCTGGAGGAATCAGCAGGGCCAGGCCTGGGCCAGCCTGGGGTCATGCTGCAGGGTTGGAGGCAGCTCTGACAGCTGGACCTGGTAGGGCCAGGACCTGCCTGGGGGTTGATGCTAACCCTACACCCAGGCCCTCCTTGTGGGCCAGTTCAGGTTAGAAATGATGGGCCGGGCGCAGTGGCTCACGCCTGAAATCCCAGCACTTTGGGAGGCTGAGGCAGGTGGATCATCTGAGGTCAGGAGCTTGAGATCAGCCTGGCCAACACGATGAAACTCCATCTCTACTAAAAATACAAAAATTAGCTGGGTGTGGTGATATGCACCTGTAATCCCAGCTACTCAGGAGGCTGAGGCAGGAGAATCACTGGAACCCAGGAGGCGGAGGTTGCAATCAACTGAGATCGCACCATTGCACTCCAGCCTGGGCGACAGAGCGAAACTGCGTCTCAAAACATAAAATAAAAATAAAAATAAATAAATAAAAGAAATGAGCACGCCGAGACCCATTTCTAGGCAGCCTACCCATTTCATTCCCTCTCTGGGAACAGCATGGGGTTTTCTGGACCTGGCCCTCTCCCTCCGATGAGCGTCTCCTCTCGGGTCCACAGAGTGCTCTGCTCTGCCACCCTGCCCTGGGTTGCCCACTGTGAGGCTGTCACTCAACTCCCCTCTGCCAGCCCAGGGAGCTCCCCTGCTGGCATTGCCTCAGCCTCACCCCAGCAAAGGCCCCAGGCCTGAGGATGACCCTGACAGAGAGAAAGGAGGAAACGCAAGGCAGCACAGCCCACAGAAGCCTCCAGAAGGGCTGTTTGAAGCAGGGGAGAGGGCAGTGGAGAAAACAGGGGCATTGCTCTCAGATGAGGGCGTGCTCCAGCCTTGCCTGAACCATCTCAGAGCACTGGTTGAGTGTCTGGGCTCAAAGATCAGGCGTCCTGGGACTTGAAGTCTGGTTCTGCCACTTCCTGGCTGTGTGACCCTGAGAAAGTGACTTAACCTCTCTGAGTGTCTGCTGCTGCATTTGCAATGTAGGGACAGTGGTCCTGCCCACCTCATGGGGTGACTTGCATCAGACACACCCACAATGATGTCTGCACGTAGTGAGTGGTCCTTGAGGTCAGCTACTGCCATGGCTCATGTTTCTCCAGGGCACAGTCATGCCTGTGCAACTGTGCTTAGGAGCAGGGACCGTGGTGAAACCAGCCAATGGCCACTCAGCTCTGAGACCAGCCACTTCACCAGCAGATTCGATGCCGCTGCTCTTCCTCATGGCGGCTCCCTTCTCCTTACAAACTATTGGAAGTGCTTCCACTGTGGGGGCCCTGGGTATGCAAAGATGGATCAGGCTGGTAGAGGCTGGGTGGGGAGGATGGGCAGGGAAGGACGGCTGAGGCCAACAGAGAGAGTGACAGGAGGGAGCATCAATCACCCGGACTTCCCAGAAGCCTCCAGGAAGACATCAGGGTCCAGTTGAGTCATGAGACTGAGAAGGATGGCCTGGCTCACAGGCGAGTAGCAACTCAGGTGGGGTAAATGTGGGCAGGTGCAAAGGTGACGGAGGCATGTCCTGGCTGACCCTTGGGCTCCAGGGTCTGGCCGCCAGGGTTCAAATCCCTGCTCTGCCACTTTCTAGATGTGCACTTGGACACTGGATTTCTCTCTATGCCTCAGTGTCCCATTCGTAACTGGGGATGACAGCAGCACTGTCACACAGGGCTGCTGAGAAGTGGTGAGCAAGAGGAATGTGTGTGCAGCGTTTTAAGCAGCGCCTGCGTGCTGAAAGTGCCGTGCAAATGTTAGTTAAGGTTACTGCCGTGTGACTCATCAGACAGTGCTCTCACTCTTCAGGCGTTTTTACCTCCTGCTCTCCGCAGTGGAGAGCAGCTTGAGGAAGGAACAGCGTGAATGCAAATCTTGACAGGCAAACAGGTTTCCAGTCCCACCACTGACGACCTTCTCACTGGCATTGAAAGAGTGTTTTCGGCTCCCTGCCTAGATGCTGGCAGTTTCTGGGTGACAAGCAGCTGTCACATGCTTTTAACAAGCCTTGGGTTTCAGCGGGTCAAGGTACTGACCGGACTAGGTCTGGGATAATTGGGCCACCAAGGTGGGTACCTGTAATCCCAGCTACTCGGGAGGCTGAGGCAGGAGAATCGCTTGAACCCGGTAGGCGGAAGTTGCAGTGAGCCGAGATAGTGCCATTGCACTCCACCCTGGGCAACAGAGCGAGACTCTGCCTCAAAAAGAAAAAAAATGCAGGGCCACCAAGAGGGACACAGATAGAACCTTCTCCAACTTTGAGTCCAGTGACTGCGGGCACAGGTATCTGTGGTGGTTCCTCAGCCCCGGGCTCCCTGTCAGCCCCGGGAACCTCTAGCATCTCAGGCCCCAGGATGTCCCAAACCAGAAACAGGTGATGTTGCCACCAGGTATTTCATCACCTGGAGCAGGGAATGCCAGGGGCTGGGTACCTCCCCACATCCCCTGGAGGAGTGGGCAGGCCCCAGGGCTGTTGGAGGAACCCTCCCTGCGCCCACCTCTGGCTGTTGAGCCTACAAACAGCTGTTGCCTCCCTTCATCCCAGATGGACCCTGGCACCACATAAACCCACAGATTTCTGCTAATTAAAGTGAGGTTTTGACACTTGAGGCATTTTGCTGAGATGGGAGTTCACGCTCTACCAGAGAACTGAAGCGTCGGGTTCTTCCCAAGCTTGGCCCCAGACAGCTGGCCATTATGAAGGCAGACATGCTAACGCTTTTGTTTATTTATTGGATGCATCTGTACTCTTCCCCGAATTTCAGAGAGGGTTGGAATCAGCCTTAAGAACAAGTTTGTTGGCAGGGCGCGGTGGCTCACTCCTGTAATCCCAGCACTTTGGGAGGCTGAGGTGGGTGGATCACAAGGTCAAGAGATCAAGAGCATCCTGGCTAACATGGTGAAACCCTGTCTCTACTAAAAATACAAAAAATTAGCCAGGTGTGGTGGCACGTGCCTGTAGTTCCAGCTACTCGGGAGGCTGAGGCAGGAGAATTGCTTGAACCTGGGACACAGAGGTTGCAGTGAGCCAAGATTGTACCACTACCCTCCAGCCTGGGCGACCAAGCAAGACTCTGTCTCACAAAAAAACAAACAAACACCGATTTATCTTGATATGGGGGAAAAAAAACCCACACAGCTTTTGGGGTCAGAAAGGACCGGGTGTGAATCCTTTATATCACTGTCTACCTGTGAGTCCTTGGACAAATCACTTGCCCTCTCTGAGCCTGTCTCCTCATCTGCACGATGGGAGCATGCACTCCACCATTGTTGGGCCCTAGTGACGGTACAAGGAGATCGTGAGATAAAACACCGTCACTGCTTCATAGATGTTTTCAAAATAGGCATGTTTCAAACGCGGGCCAGGCGCGGTGGCTCACGTCTATGATCCCAGCACTTTGGAAGGCTGAGATGGGTGGACCACTTGAGGTCAGAAGTTCAAGACCAGTCTGGCCAACATGGTGAAACCCTGTCTCTAGTAAAAATACAAAAATTAGCTGGGCATGGTGGCAGGTGCCTGTAATCCCAGCTACCTGGGTGGCTGAGGCAGGAGAATCACTTGAACCTGGGAAGCGGAGGTTGAAGTGAGCCAAGATTGTATCACTGCACTCCAGCCTGGGTAACAGAATGAGATTCTGTCTCAAACAAATAAATACATAAAAATAAAATAAAATGGATCATGGAATAAGAACAGAAAAGTGAAGTAAAGGAAGGAGGAGGCAGGGGATGCCTTCTGTTGCACGGGGGACAAGGGGGCTGTGCCCCAGGCCTGCTCCTCTCCACCGGATGTCCTGTGGGAACTGCCCAGGTCCTGCCACCTCCTTCCGTTGGACGGAGATGACCTGTTCAGGTCTGGCCTGAGACACAGAAATCAAGAGCCAGGGAGACTGAGGCACAGAGCCTGTCACCCAGAAAGAAACTTTCTCCTGCACGGGGGTGGGCGAGGTAGGCAGAATCAAGCCAGAGGCACAGAGCGGAGACCCCGAAGCCTCCAGCCCAGCAGCTCTGACCTGAGCCGCTCTGAGTCTTTCCCAAGTCCTCCATTATCCCGATAATAAGCCCCCAACTTGGTGTACATGTGAGTCTTGGAATCAAGGGTATCAACACATAGGGAATGTGTGACATGGAACAGACCTGCCGGGGAGATGGCCAAGCCTGGCTCCATGAACGGGAGGCAGGAGCAGGTCGCTGGTCCTGGAGAGAAGAAAGATCCTGGCGGCTTCTCAGGAGGGGCAGAGCTCTTCCCAACCTGGAGGTAAGACTGGCCTCAATTGGAGCTTCCTGCGGGGGTCCTGTGGCAAAGGCCGGGGCTGCCTTATGCTGTGTCTGGACGTGAGTGTCCCATCCCCAAAAGCTGAGCGTGGGATGTAGACGCGTTAAGATGTGCCTGGGAAAGCTGCTGTTTCCAAAGGCCAGATGGCCACAGCCAGGCCACGGGCACAGCAGGGGGCAGCAAACCCACTGCCCTGGGGAATGGCGGCGATAGAGTGAGGGTGCAGCTGCTGAGGCACTGGTGGGATGAAGCGGCCACTGCCCCCCTCTTTCTCTCATTTCCCCACATGGCAAGCCCCATGGGGGATCCAGAAGCGTCCACCAGCAGAGCTGATGCAGGTGCGGTGGTGGCTCTCAGCAGCCCCACTGCTGTGGCTGGCATGTCCCCACCTCTCCCCTGTAGCTGACGGAGGGGCAGTGGTGGCGTCCCTGCTGCTGCCCTTGATGCTCAGCTGCTTGCAGCACAGCGGCCCCAATGTCCTCTTAAAATGAGGCTGGTGAGTTCTCTCCTCTGCATGATGCCTAGAGCCACCTCACTCAGAGTGAGAGCCAATGGCCTGCAGTGACCCTCCGTGACCTACTCACTGCCTCCTTTTGCCCTTGACCTCGCCGGCTTGCAGCCCCCACAACTCAAGGGCCTTGACTCTGCCTGAGGAGCTCTCCCTCCAGGGGCCTGCAGGCCTTCCCTTCTGCAGGGGCCTCCCTGACTACCCTGGGGTAGGATACCCCACCCTAGGTGCTCCCCACCCACCTTGTCTGCCTTTACCTCCTTCTGAAGCTGTGAGCACTGAACCTGTCTACTTCCTTCATGCTTCACCATCTTTCTCTCCTTGCAGGAAGACAAGCTCCCCGGGGACAGGGACCCTTACTTGTTTGTTCATTGATGTGTCCCAGGAGTCTGCCTCAGAGTCCCTGCTCAGCAAAACTGCCAGGGCAGGATAGATGATGACCTATCCCTGCACTAGTTGAAGCCGGGATACATGGCACACCTTTTCAAAAACCTCCTTTGGGCCAGGCGTGGTGGCTCATACCTGTAATCCAGCACTTTGGGAGGCTGATGCAGGCAGATTGCCTGAGGTCAGGAGTTCGAGACCAGCCTGGCCAACATGGTGAAACCCCATCTCAATTAAAAACACAAATATTAGCTGTGCATGGTGGCGGGCGTCTGTAATCCCAGCTACTCTGGAGGCTGAGGCAGAATTGTTTGAACCCGGAGACGGAGGCTGCAGTGAGCTGAGATGGTGCCACTGCACTCCAGCCTGGGCGACAGAGCAAGACTGGATCTCAAAATAAAAAAAAACAAAACTCTCCTTTGAACAAATCATAATTATTCATTGCCCCAAGTTAAAAAAACCTATTAATTATATGTTAATATATAATAAACATGTATTTGCATTTGTATATAATAAACATGTATTTGTATGTAATATGTAATCATAACTTAAGAATTACTTGAAGAAAATCTGGGTGGAAACCTCATATTAAGAGGCCCATTTGCCTCACCCTTCCTCCCAGGGACAATGATGACAGCCTTTTGGTGCAGCTCCTCCCAGTGTTCCTTTTAGGGGCGTGTGACCCTGAGTGTGACAGGGTGAGGAATCTGCAGGAGAGATGGTGGCCTGCATGGGGTTATCATGGGAAGGGGCAGGTTGGCACCTACACGTGATCATGCCACTCTCCTGCCTGAGCACTCTGTGGCTCCCACTGCTCTTAGGCTGAGACTCCAGCTCCTTCTGCCTCCAGCTGCCTCCTCACCCTGCCCTGGGCCATTCCCCTGCCTTGCTCTCTGGCGTGCAGGCCGACAGCTTCCTTGCTGGTCCCTGGATGCCCTGAGATCTTCTCCTCTTATTCCCAGTGCCCAGGATACTTGTTACCCTCTACCTCCTCCTGGCTGGGTCTATCTGGCTAAATGAGGATGGCTCTTTCTAGATGCCCTGGCCAAGTGAAGGCTGGATCCTTCATTCCTCTCTGTAACCCACGTTGCTTCAGAGCGCACGTCACAGCTGCCATCATAGATCAAAATACCTGGCCACCCGCCTGTGGTATTTTCCTGCCTCTGGCATGTATGCCCTGTGTGTGCAGGCACCGTCTGGTAAACCTTGTATACCCAGTGCCTGGCACACAGCATGTGACCCGTACCTATGTGCATATAAAGAAAAAAATGGCAATAACTAGAGGACATGGGGACATTGGATTCGTGTGTTTCTTTTTCTTTTTCTTTCTTTCTTCCCTCCCCTCCCCTCTCCTCCCCCTCCCTCCCTCCTTCCCTTCCTTCCTTCCTCCCTCCCTCCCTCTCTCTCTCTTTCTTTCCAGGGTCTCACTCTGTTGCCTAGGCTGGAGTGCACTGGAAGAACCTCGGTTCATTTAAGCCTCAACCTCCTGGGCTAAGGCAATCCTCCTGCCTCGGCCTCCTGTGTAGCTGGGACCACATGCACATGCCGCCACACCTGACTCATTAAAAAATTTTTTTTGTAGACACGCGGTTTCACTTTGTTGCCCAGTCTGGTCTCGAACTCCTGGGCTCAAGCAGTCTGCCCCCCGTCGGCCTCCCAAAGTACTGTACTGAGACTACAGGTGCGAGCCACCATGTGCAGCCATTTATCTTTTTAAAGTATTTGTTATTTATTTTAAAATTTTTCATGCCCCTTGCTGCTGAGTTGTATATATGTATCTGTGTTTATGGACACATTTCTTCTAAAACATATTGAAGTATAAGACATATCTAGAACAGTGCACCAATTCTAAGTGTGCAGCTGGGTGAATCATCACCAGTTACAGACCCATGTATCCGGCACCCAGATCTGGATACGATGTTATCCAGATCAAAAGCTACCTCTGAGCGTGGGGGCTCATGCCTGCAGTCCTATTAATATGGGAGGCTGATGAAGTGGGATGGCTTGAGCCCAAGAGTTCGAGACGAGCCTGGGTAATAAAGTGAGACCCTTATCTCTACAAAAAAATACCCCAAAAACTAGCCAGGTGTGGTGGCACACACCTGTGGTCCCAGTTACTTGGGAGGCTGAGGTGGGAGGATCGTTTGAGCCTGGGAGGTGGAGCCTGCCGTGAGCTAAGATCACGCTACTGCACTCCAGCCTGGGCGACAGAGTAAGACCTTGTCTCCAAAATCAAAACCAACACCAAAACCAAACCGAACCAACAAAACCAAAACACCTCCTCCACGCCCCTGTAGTCTCTGCTCCTCCCTGCAATCATCACGGCCTCTGTGCTACAAATGCAATAAATGCTAGCAGGATTAGAAACCACTTGGTAGTATCTGCTAAACTGCCCCTGAGCCCCACCGCGATCTGGCAATCCCACTGAGGTGTAGATAGGGTGGAAATGCACAGAGCTGCTCACTGAAGGTGCAGAGACACCCACTGGGGTGCTCACGACCGTTTCAGCCACCCGTACGCCCATCACAGCAGGTGGATAAGTGCACTTGGGATAGCCACACAATACTTCACAGTGACAAGAACACAAGTGCAGCAGACACAGGCAGCAGCGACGATGACTCTCTCAGTGTTGAGTGGAAAACAGCAGACAGAAAAGTTGACCTATTCCAGGATGACATTTATATGCGAGGCCACTACAGGCAAAACAACCCAACGGGGCTATGTGTGGGCGGATGTTGACTTTGCTGCTTTTCTCTTTCCTTGGCTTCCCTTCGTTTCTCCCTCTCTTCTCTCCCTCCCTCTTTTTCTTCCTTCCAAATTTGGGATCTCTAGCCCTCTCTGCAAAGACACACGCACGCACGCACGCACAGCATCTTCTCTACATCAAGAAATAATACCCTTTAAAATAATGACCACCATGAATGCATGAAGGCTTGCAGGTGTTTTTTGTGCTTATGCTCTGGAAAGTCCATGACCTTTTTCAGAAATCAGCATGAGTTCAGGGTCAATGTCAGGAACAGGGGCTCTGAGGCATTTGCTTAGCTGGAATGGGGGCGGTGCTGGTGGCCATGGTCACGTGACAGGCGGTGCCTGCTGCACTGGTCAGGTGGGTGTGCTTAGGGGAGAGGGGTGTTCAGCAAAAGGAAAGGGTGAGGATTGATCATTTAACCTGTGTGACTGTGTCTTTTTAAGGCCGCAGACAGTCTGTTATCTGAGTAGTTAATGGCTAATGGAGCCAAATCTCTGCCACCAGTGTGAATAAACAGCTGGGCGCCAGAGCCCTTGGCTCAGGTTCAGATCTGGGCTCTATCAGGCACTGGTGATTCATTGGGGACAACTGATTTGTCTTTTTTTTTTTTTTTTTTGAGACAAAGTCTCGATCTGTCAACCAGGCTGGAGTGCAGTGGCACAATCTCAGCTCGCTGCAACCTCTGCCTCCCGAGTTCAAGAGATTCTCCTATCTCAGCCTCCCGAGTAGCTGGGATTACAGGTGCACCTCACCACACCTGGCTAATTTTGTATTTTTAGTAGAGACAGGGTTTCACCATGTTGGCCAGGCTGGTCTCGAACTCCTGAACTCAGGTGATCCACCTGCTTCGGCCTCCCAAATTGGGATTACAGGTGTGAGCCACCATACCCAACAACTTATTTACTTCTTGGGGCCTCTGGTTCCTCATCTGTAAATAAGTTTGAAAACTGTACTGACCCACATATGGTTGCGGTAAGCATCGAGTGAGTTATTATTTGTAAACCTCTTGGTTAAGTGCCTGCATGGAACACGGTAAACATTTAACAATGTTTTTCTACTTTTGCTCAGTTGTTTTAAAACATCCCACATCATATTAGTCAGCTTTGGCTGTAATAACACTGCATAACAAACAGTCCCTCCCTCTCCGTGGCTTCTGAAGACAAGTGCTGTGCTTGATTTGGGGCTGTGGTTGCATTTGGGCATGTTCCACCTGTCTCTGTCCCCTCTTTCCAAAACCCAGGAGGAGGGAGCAGTGTCAGCTCAGATGTCTCTTCTGATGGTGGAGGGCAGGAGAGCCAGAGGGGGAGCGGAACCCTAGAACCCGGGGATGCCTCAAAGAGCCACATCCCAGAGCTCCAAGCAGCTCTTACAAGCAAGCCTTGAGGCAAGGAAGCTCTGGACCAGACACTCCCTGCAGGGACTGCGGCAGGGCCGGGGGCAGGGAAAGAAGATTGTGAAAAGAAAATGGATTTCCACCCAGTCCGTGTAATCCTGGTGAGGCAGCCTCGAGGGAGATGTGAGAATTTCACCTCATCCGGTGAAATTCATGGCAGGGTGATTAATGCCTGGTGAGTGATCTCAGCATTTTCTCATGACATCAAATGTTAGCAAGTTGCCCTCCGGAAAGGCTGACCCAGGTGTCTTCCTTGCAGCAGCATCGGAGACTGACCTCCAGCACCCGGCCAACACAGTCAAGTATTGTTTGTGTTCACCTTTGCTCAGTCGAAGGTACAAACAAGAATTATGATGGCAGTCGTGACAGCATAACACAGTATGATCCACTGGGGTTTTTATGGCATGTGAAGTCAGAATGACCTCAGCTCGGTGCGCCTGTAGCTTCCCGGGGCCGCTCGTCCTCTGTATGATGCTGTAACCAGGTGAGCCTTCCTGTTGAACTCAGGGCTTGGCCGTATGATCTGTTCAGGCCAGTGGAACATACTGGGACAAGCAGAGCTTTAAATGTGTTCTGGTGGTTTGCTTTACACCCACCGCACCCCACCCCCAGCCTCGTCCTCTTTCAGAATCTCAGGGACAGGGCATCTTGTGGAGGGAGAGACTTGGCTGCAATGCAGCCCCAGGGAGGCCTCAGCTGCCCCCACGGTGGGCTCCAGAGTCTCAAGGGGCTCCAGTCTCAAGGCCCTCCAGAGGTGGCCCGAGCTGAGGCAGGAGGCCAGGCCTTTATAGCCATGCATTGACCAGTTGCCACATGCAGGCCCCTCCCGGGGAGGGGACCACCTTGGGCATGGCACCTCCCTTCAGCCAACGTCAATTCCTGGAGCAAGATGCCACTGTGAGCCATCAGTGCATGACACCTCAGCAGCAGAGGAGGAGATGCCTTGCTCCAGCAGGGAGCTGGGGGTGCCCCCCCACCCACCCACTGCATGAATTAACCTTCCATTTTGAGCACCTATAGACGCTGGGTGTGTATCATCTGCCATGACCACAATAGCCCAGGGGCCACTGTCAGCATCCCTTGGGAGCTTCGTGTGCCCGGGGTTGTGCTGCCAGAGGAAGCTGCCAGGCTTGGGCTAGGTCTGTGATTCCGGCACCAACATTCTCAGTTGCTGAGATTGGACCCAGCCTGGGGGGGCACGTCTCCCAGGATGGGGGTGTCCAAGCCATCCTTACATATCTGGAGAGTAACCACACAGTGTCCGAGCGTTGGCCTGTTACCAGGAGCTGATGGGCTGTGACTGTTGTGGTCTTAGATTGTCGTCTGTGTGCCTGTGTGTACCAGAAGCTTTTACTCTTTGAAGAGGGAAGCAATCTAGAAAATGATTCAGCAAATAATTTGGCAGATGTTTCCCTGGGCTGCAGGCTGGGGAACGTGCCTTGTCTTTGGAATGGATCAAATCTGGCTGAAGTTCTAGCTCTCCCCTAGTTCCAACCCCGTCCCCTCAGTGAGCTGTTGGACCTGGGGCCCCTCCACTCTTCCTTCTCCAGAGTGGGGCAAGATGAGGTCCCTCTTCTCGGGGGCAGGGGGAAGAAGGGAGGCAGTGGGTTGTGAGGTTCTACATGGGTCAGGGATGCTGCTGGAGCCTGGGGCCTGGGGATGTGGTGGCAACAGGGTGTGGCCTGTGACCTTCAGAAGAAAGCACCACAGGCTGGAGGAGAGGCAGCCATGCCAGCGACACTCACAGGGCTGCCCAGGCATGCCGCAGCAGGGAAGCACAGAGGGTGGGAGGGGCTGGCCTCCCTGAGGAGGTGCTATGGGAATGGATTTTGAACATTGAATAGGAGTTTGCCAACTGGCCAAGAAGGAGCATGGGAAGAGCATGTGCAGAGCCAGAGCATGGGCCTGGGGTGCCTCTGGGGGGTCGTGAGAGGATGGCATGACGTCCTCAGCCCTGTTTTCATGCTGTCTCACTCTTCCAAATTGTTTCTGGACCATCAAGAGAGAAGGTCCTGAGGCTGGCAGGGCACACAGTTCCTAGCAAGGGTGGAAAAGAAAAATGGGGGAAAGGGGAAGACCCTACTGCCATCCTGAGCAGGATCCTGTGCTGGGTGGAGGGGAGCCTGGGAGGAGTGGTCCTCAAGGGAGTGGGGTCTCGTGGAGAGTGCAGTGTCACCTTCTCCGGGGTCACTTCAGCCTCAGCCAGCAACCGGGGTCCCTGTGAGGACAATGGACCCTGCCCAGCCGCCCATGTGGATGTCCCTCCCAGTGGCCCGGGGCTCTCCTAAAATCCTGCAGGCAGAGGATGGAGCTGTTGGCAGGGCGGGTGGGGTGTCGGTGAGACACATGTCAGAAGGAGTGATAACTTGTCTACATTTGTGCAGTTTACCAGTGGCAGAGCTAGGACTCCAGTTTAGGGTGTTCTTCCACCCCTGACGTGTGTTTGTGTGTGTGTGTGGGCGAGGGGTTTGAGAGAGCAGGGATTCCACTGGGGTCATAGTTGTTGAAGGAAAGAGCAATTCACTCTAATCTATGTTCATGCTCTCAAATGGTGCAACTGTATTAAAATAACTCTTTTTTTTTTTTTTTGGAGATGAAATATTGCTCTGTCGCCCAGGCTGGAGTGCAGTAGCATGATCTTAGCTCACTGCAACCTCCGCCTCCTGGGTTCAAGTGATTCTCTTGCCTCAGCCTCCCGAGTACTTGGGATTACAGGTGCCCACCATCACACTCAGCTAATTTTTTGTATTTTTAGTAGAGATGGGGTTTCACCATTTTGGTCTTGAACTCCTGACCTCATGATCCACCCAACTCAGCCTCCCAAAATGCTGGGATTACAGGCATGAGCCACCGTTCCTGGCCTAAAATAACTCTTAATAAAGCAAATGCAATTTCCCCTCAGTCTGCCACTCCAAGAAGCCAACCCTGGGTGTTTGCATCTACCTGCTCTCTGCCCTCAGCCATATGAGGAACAATTTGGCACAATGTTTCTGCACCTGGGACTGAGCCAAGCTCTCTATCTCACTTGCTCTTGCCATCCTCCTGGCAAGCCCCATGGCGTGGTTTCTGCCCTCCCCATTGTGGGAGGAGGGACCTGCAGCTCAGGGTAGTGAAGCTCTTTGCCTGCAAGACTTGACAACAGGCGGTCACTGGGCATCACAGGCAGGTTGAGCTGCTGTTAGGATTTGAACCCTGGTTCTTGCAGCCTTGGCAGTTGCTTCTGCTTCTGCCTGGAAGACTGAACCCCCAAATACTTACGGGTACCTGCTAGTGGCGGGTACCTGCTCCTCATCCAGGTCTCAAATCAAAGGTCAACGCCTCCAAGAAGGCTTCCTTAACCCATTCTATCTCAACCTCCAGCACTTTCCAGTACATTTCATCTTTTATTGTTTTCAGAACACTTGTTTTATTAACTTATCCTGCTTACATATGTGTTTATTATCCCTATTAGAATGGAAGTCAAGGCTGGGTGCCATGGCTCACGCCTGTAATCCCAGATCCGCCGAGGCAGGTGGATCACCTGAGGTCAGGAGTTCGAGACCAGCCTGGCCAACATGGTGAAACCCCGTCTCTACTAAAAATACAAAAATTAGCTCTTGGTGGTGCACACCTGTAATCCCAGCTACTCAGGAGGCTGAGGCAGAAGAATCACCTGAACCTGGGAGACAGAGGTTGCAGTGAACTGAGATAGCACCACTACACTCCAGCCTGGGTGACTGAGCGAGACTTCATCTCAAAAAAAAGAAAAAAAAAAAGAATGTAAGTCAAGAAAGAAGGAGCCTCATTTATATACTCCTGTAGCTTTTCATATATGCTGAACCTCGGGATGTGCTGAACCAACATATATGGAATATATGTTGAAAGCATAAGTGGATGAGTGAATGAATGAGTGAATGAATGAATGTCACCTAATCCCGTGCCTTTCCACTCATTTCCAATAGTCTGCACTTTTCTGCTATAGCTTTTCACTTGGGAATCTAGGTAGTTTCCATTTTGTTACATGTCCTGTTACAACCAATGATGGTATCACATTTGTGCATTTTTGTAAGATCATGGCTGTGTGTGGCCCGTGAATAAAGACACTTAAAACAACAATGGAGACGAACGTTTTGTGGTGGTTCTTTTTACAAGAGATCTCCCAGGTTCCAAAGCCCTGCTGTATTCCAGGCCCCAGGTGCGCTCTTTCTTCCTGTCTCATTTTGCTCTTGTCTTGCTTGGCTGCCCTCGGAATCAAAGAGGAGAATCTTTTATATGCAAACGATGTGGTATCGCCAATAAGACGGAGAAACAGCCCCGCCAGGCCATGGGTTCTGCTGTCTAAACTCCCGAGGTAAAGGAAAGCAAGCTCTGTTCAGCTCTTTTAAAACAAGAGCCAGGAGGTTGCTGTCCTGGAAATTAAATCACTGTCTGTGGGCCGGGTGTGGTGGCTCAAGCCTGTAATCCCAGCACTTTGGGAGGCCGAGGCGGGTGGATCACGGGGTCAAGAGATCGAGACCATCCTGGTCAACATGGTGAAACCCCGTCTCTACTAAAAATAAAAAAAAAAAAAATTAGCTGGGCATAGTGGCATGTACTTGTAATCCCAGCCACTCAGGAGGCTGAGGCAGGAGAATTGCCTGAACCCGGAGACGGAGGTTGCGGTGAGCCGAGATCGTGCCATTGCACTCCAGCCTGGGTAACAAGAGCGAAAACTCAATCTCAAAAAAAAAAAAAAAAAATCACTGTCTGTGCTGGAGATGAGTGAGCTAGTGATGAACTCAGGTGCGGGGCTGGCCTTCAGGTTGAGGCTCTGCTGTGAGCTCGTGCAGCTGAGTGAGTCCCTTCAGCTCTCCGCATTTTCATCTCATTGGTAAAATCGGGCTAACAAGGGGAACGGCTACAGAGAGCTGCTGAGAGCATCGCAGGAGAGGCTGCGAAGTGCCTGGCAGCTGGTGTTTGCACCAGAAACACTCTCCAACAGGCAGCCTAGGGGTTCCCACCACTATCCGAAGTCTGTGATAATAAGAGATTGGTCCTGACAGCCTCTGCTCCCTGGGCTGCCCGCCTGCCCCCATGATTCCCCATATCCTGCCTTCCTGTGGCCACCTGCTAAATCAGCAGGGTCCCTGGACCCTTGGGATTCAACTGAAAGGTACTTAGAAGGGGTGACAGCTCCCGAAGATGTGACTTGGACACTGCACTTGCAGATGTAGCTCTGCTAGGTGGCTATGACTGCCAGACACCACATAGCATTCTTAATTCATTCAACTATGTGCCTGTGTGGTTGCAGACCCTGGGGCTCATCCATCCATGGAAGAGAGAAAGGACACTGGACTACAGGGGCTGCCCCTGCCTGGAGCGCCACAGGGAGCACTGGGCTACCAGGTGGCAGTTTGTCTCTGTGCTGCACTTCCACATCACAGCCCCTCTGATGATTTCCTTGAGTTAATTTACATTTATCATAGTTACACTTTGCTGTGTTGTGCTCCTAATTTGCAGAAATGCTTCACTGGCTCAGAATTGATCCATTAATGCACCACGGTGTGATTAAGACAGTGGGATGATGACGAGAACACAGAATGAGCTCGCAATCATAAACCAAGTGAGAGGTGTCTGTGTTGGTGCTGGGAGGAGAACCTCCTGAAAGACGGCTTTGCACAAGCAGCCGAAACCTAAAAGCCTGAGTTAAGATACAACAAGTCCACATTTCTGAAAAATTGATTTCATCGTAGCAGTGAACTCACCCCTCAGACCTTGCAACTTCATTATCTGTTGTGAAGCTTTGTCAAACAGCCTTCTGAAGCGGTGGAAGTCTCCATCACTTTTTCAAGGAAAGTGTGGGGATCCCTCCGGCAAGGAAATCACATTCCAAGCACAAAACCAGGCGTGCCCAGGCAAAATTGGGTAATTTCACTGATAAAGGCTGAAATGAGACAAAAGCAACATCATTCAAAGTTGCCCTCTCTGTAGCCAAAGCAGAGGAAGTGAAGTGGCTGCTGGGAAGGTCGTAAAAGCAACCCCAAAATTAATGCCAAATGTGATGCTCAGGGAGAAAACTAAAGGGCCAGCGAAATCCTCTATCAAATGGCGCTCTGGGATATAGTCTGACAGCACGGACGGAGAATGTGTAAGAGCGGTTCCCGGATGTGTGCCTGCCAGCAGTCACTTCCCTTCACCCAGGAAAACCTCTGCTGCAAAGAGGATGAACCAGGTTCTGGCAGGTTCCGTGAAAGGATGATGGTTTTGAGGAAAGTGATCATGATCTCAGCTAGCATTGTGTGAGCACGTGCCTGGGGCGGGAAGTCCTAAAAGCACTTTACAAGCATCCAGCAACCTTTACTTCTACTTTATTTATGTATTAAGATGAGATACTTTTATTATTTACATTTTATAGCTAACAAGCCAAGGGACATGGAGGCGGGCTACTTCACCCACAGTGACACAGCTAGCTAGCAGAGAGATACACGCCTTGCCAACTACCTCCGTACATATGCTTAACTACCATGCCAAACAGCTTCTGCCCAATCCGCAGGGAGACGTGGCTTTTCCTTCCTTGACTTTTAAAAGCCCATGTTTCAGAAAAAGGTTTTTCATAGAGCGAAGTTATGAGGACGATAATTTTCTGGTAGCCATGGTGTGGACTGGAAAAGGTGTGTCTGAGTTGGTTCTGACAATGCGTCACCATCTATTTCTCTGCAGGGGCAGCCCTGAAATCTGTACCCTGGCTGGGCATGGTGGCTCATGCCTGTAATCCCAGCGCTTTGGGAGGATCACTTGAGGTCAGGAGTTCAAGACCAGTCTGGCCAACATAGTGAAATGTCATCTCTACTAAAAATACAAAAATTAGCCTGGCATGGTGGTGCATGCTTGTCATCCCAGCTACTTGGGAGGCTGAAGCAGGAGGATTGCTTGAACCAGGAAGGTGGAGGTTACTGTGAGCTGAGATCGCGCTACTGCACTCTAGCCTGGGTGACAGACTGAGACTCCAAATCAAGAAAAAAAGAAGAAAAAAATCTGTGCCCTAACTTTGCCTCATATCAAAAGAATTAACCTGAATCACGGACAGCAGGACCACATCCAGCTGCCGAGGCATCCAGAGTCTCCCTGGGAGGTCACTGACAGCAGGCACCACATTCTCACAGAGACTTGAAATGAGGTGGCACATAAGCCTCTGCTTCGTGACATGGATAAAGTGAGTGGCTGTCTCTGCCGATGTCCAGGGACTGGTGGAGGATCTATTTAGTGTCTGTTTATACCACAAAGGCCCTGGAGCCATTGTTTCAGGCCGGGAAAGTCGCAGAGGCCTCAAGGAAGACCACATCGTAGTGAGAACTGCCGGGAAAGCAGTTGAGGATCAGACACGTCTAAGTGGTCACGTCCACGGGCTGCAACCAAACGGTGAACTGTGTCCACAGCTGAGTATGGTGAAGAAGCTATGAGAAGCCCATTCCCTGGGATCTTCCTCCAGCCTCCTCTCCAGCATTTGACTGAGTCTGGCCGTGGCCGAATTCGGTTTCTGCAAGCAATCTGTCAAAAGTGGCTGCCTCTTGTCTTACCTCAGCCTGTCTTTTCCAGAAGGAGCCACTGTGTGCTGCCTGCCATTGTCAAAGGTCAGGAATTGTATGTGAGATGGGATTTTCTAATTCAGTAGAAATGAGGAGTTAGAAAGAAAATAATCCACAACTCTATCTCTCTGGCCTTGGGGCCATAGCCACCTTGATACAGGTTTAATCTCTCAAACTTATAGGAAACAGTCATTATTATGTTTTTCAGTATCACCTTCACTTCAATTGCTTTTAAAAAGTGTGATGAATCGGCCAGGCACGGTGGCTCATGCCTTTAATCCCAGCACTTTGGGAGGTGGAGGCAGGCAGATCACCTGAGGTCGGGAGTTCGAAACCAGCCTGGCCAACATGGTGAAACCCTGTCTTTACTAAAAATGCAAAAGAAATTAGCCGGGCATGGTGGTGCATGCTGTAGTTCCAGCTACTCAGAGGCTGAGGCAGGGGAATTGCTGGAATCCAGGAGGAGGAGGTTGCAGTGAGCTGAGATTGTGCCATGACACTCCAACCTGGGCCACCATGAAATGTCTGGAAAAAAAAAAAAAAAAGATTGTGATGCAACTCTAGGGAAAACAATTCCCTGAACTGTCTGAGCTGGGACCTCCCCCACTTTTTGCCAGACATGGAGTCTTCTCTTTGAGAGGTCATGGCCAGGCTGGTAGCCTCAGGGCAGGGCGGGAAGTGGTCCCCACCACCATTCTTCACCACAGCTCCCTGTGTCCATCATCAAATCTTGAAGACTTTGCCTCTTAAAAGTGTCCACTGTCTGCCTGTCTCCCCCCATCTTCGCCTGTCTCCCCCCATCTTCACCGCAGTCCGTGAGCCGAGGCCCCATCTCCCGGCTTGACCATCCCGACAGCATCCTTAGGACATGCTCTGAGCTCCTCCAGGCCGCCTGGGCGGCTGCTTTGGAGAAACAATGGGGACCCTCCCTTCTCTCCTCTCTCGCCCTCGCCCTCGCCCCGCAGTCCTCTCAGTCACAGCTCCTGCCCTGCCCTGAGCGTGTAACTCACCGAATGCCACTGCAAACCCACGAGGGAGGTGATTCTGTGTGGGCCTCCGGGGAAGCAGATGCTGGCTCGGGTTGTAGCCCCAGAAAGCAGCGTGAGGCAGGCCAGGAGGGAAGCCTGCCCAGAGCTTGTTACTGCTGCAGGGAGGCCCAGCCCCTCCTGGGCCCTAGGGCTGTGTAGAAGGCACCTTGACAACAAGACGAATGGCCGTTCTCCACTGACCCCAGTCCCATGAGTTGAGGTTTGTCCCAAAGGGTGGTGTTTCCCATCCATGTCCAGACTCTCCACAGCAGGTAGGCTGAGTGAGCTTCCAGCTTTAGAAAAAGCCTGAAGGCACAGAGGTGGGACTCGGTGGACACGAGGATGGGGCATGGGCAGTGGCCTGGGTCTCACTAGGCTAGATGCCGTGGTGCCATCACGGCTCACTGCAGCCTCTACTTCCCAGGCTGCAGCTATCATCCCACCTCAGCCTCCTGAGAGCTGGGACCACCATGCCCAATAATTTCTTTTTGTTTTGGTAGAGAAGGGCTCTCCCTGTGTTGCCCAGTCTGGTCTCAAACTCCTGGGCTCAAGCAATCCGCCCTCCGTGGCCTCTCAAAGTGTTGGGATTATAGGCGTGAGCCACTGTGCCCGGCCCACACTGTGTCTGCTTTGTCTCCATCCCATCTCCCACCTGAAGTTTTCTTCCCAAATTAGATTCAAGGTGGCTTACAGATTTCATTCCTCCCGCCTAAGACTCCCCCAGGCATGGGCGGTAACACCAATGTTGATATTCACTGGGGTGGCTGGCAAAATATGAACTATTAGGAAAAGTTACAGATTGTAATCTCAAACCTTTTGGAAGGCTGAAAGGTTTTATGGAGGCATGCTGAAGGCAGCGGCCTCATTAATATTAGCATAGGAAAGAGACAGAGACAGTCAGAGGCTGTCCCAGTTTCAGTCTGTTTACCCCACATCCCTTTGCCTCCACTCTGTTTACTCCTGTAGACTTTGTGCTGGATGGCCCTCTCAGGGGGAGACCAAAGGGGAATTACCTGTTAATTGTGTTTATTCTGGGCCCAGAACCTAAAGCTTTTATCATTCCTATAATCACTCTTTTAACCATGTGAATTATCCACACGTGTGTTGACCTAGTACCTCTGTTGTAAAATCCTGATGGAATAAATGTGTGTGGACGGACAGAGGGTCTGGTCTACTGGTTGTATGTCACCCTCTGAAAGCAGCCAACGGCCATCCCTAGCCCATGGGTTACTTATATTAAGACCATGGGTGACTTAGAGTCAGTTTATAGCTAAGTTGAATGGAAATGTGAGTGACTTGCGACTCATGTCTGAAGTGGAGGACAGTCTTGTGGGACTGGCCTTTAACTGGTGAGGTCTGCACTAAGGCCAGTATCACCGTAATGGGGGAGGGTGCATTCATTCATCCGTCGTGGAGTCAGGGTCTGCAGGCCAGACCCCCGCAGGTGGTGGTTGGCGTCTCACACTAATTTGATAGTTTTCCAGAACACTAGTAAACACGACTGTAATTCCAAGATTTAAAAAAAACCCCTAAGTGATAAGTGCGTACCTCCATACACACAATTCCATCCTGATTTCTCCATTTCTTTCTGGTGATCACTATCAAGATTTAACCCACGATGTCTTCTGAATCCCACTTAACATCACACTTTGCTTTCCAAACCCTGTTTGCCACCTGCCTGCCCCTGCGCTCTCGGAACTAGCAGGATGGATCTGAGTAGCATAGAGGAATCCGGGGTTTCATACAGGAGCCAAGGTTTCATTTTCCCTTTAATTGAATTACTTATCACTGGAAGTTCAATGCCTCCTTCTGAAAAGCAGCCGGTTGCTTTAGACAGAGGTATGTTGGCTCCTGAGTGATATTCCTTTTAAACACACAAATTGGTCACCAAAACTTCTCCCAGCCTCGGAAATGCTAGACTCTATTCTGAGAGATTTGGCAATTTCACCTGCCTTTAATGCGTTGACAGGTGTGTGATGAGCCTGGGCCTTACACACAAAATGAACTTTCAGTCTTTTTGTCTATCATTGTGGCTCAGGAATACACTCACAGAATTGGGAGAATATGGTTGGGATGGCCCAATGTAAAATGTATTCTGAGAGGTGATTGCAAAATTCACTTGGGGGCAGGGTGTAGGGGAGTTGAGGCATCACTCAGAGACAGAGGCACTCATCATCCTGAACACTCAACCCTGGAGTGCTTCAGTAGGTCCATGTGACTGCTGTGATACTGTGATATAATTAGAAGTGTATATTTTGGTCTTTGTCCCTGGCTCTGGGCGAGGGCTCTGAAAACCCTCACAATCTCCTGAGTGACAGAGGTGCTGGGAAAACCTTTTGTTCTAACATTTGGTCTGTGACCCCGGTTCCTGACAGTGATTCTGAATCCCCTGGAATTTCTGGGGAGATAGAAGCGTCTTTTATTCTAATGAGGTGATGCTTGGTGGCTCGTGGCGGGGCAGGGGGGAGGTTAAGTGCTAGAAAGACCCAGACACCATTAGAAATCTAAAGCTTTCAACTCCACCTGCCACCCTCCAGGCAGGGGAGAGGGGCTGGAGATTGCGCTAATTACGGGACTTGCCTACATAATGAAGCCTGAACTACAGGGTGTGGAGAGCTTCTGAGTGAGTGAACACATGCAGGTGGGGGGGGGCGGGGGGTGCACCCCAACTCCAGGGTGACAGAAGCTCCGGTGCTCGGGGCCCTCCCAGGCCTCGCCCTGTGTGCCTCTTCCTTGCTGTTCACCTGCTCTTTATCATATCCTTCATAATAGACCAGGGAGCACAAGTGAAGTGTTTCCCTGAGATCTGAGTCCTGGCGAATTCATCGAAACTGAGGAGGAGGTCATTGGTGACTTAGAGTCAACTTATAGCCACGTTGAATGGAAATGTGGGTGACTTGGGGATTCAATAGTTGCAACTGGTGTCTGAAGTGGGGGACATTCTTGTGGTTCTGGCCCTTAGCTGGTGAGGTCTGCACTAATGCCAGGTAAGTAGTCTCAGAATTCAGTTAAATTCTGGAACAGCCAGCCAGTGTCCAGGGAGCTACAGAATTGGTTGCTCTGGGAACACATATCTGACGTAGGAAGGGAAGGGAAGTGGTGGGGTGAGTATAGGAAGGCTTTTTTTTTTCCTTTTTGTTTGTTGAGATGGAGTTTCACACTTTCACCCAGACTGGAGAGAGGTGGCATGATCTTGTCTCACTGCAACCTCTGCCTCCTGGGTTCAAGCAATTCTCCTGCCTCAGCCTCTAGGGTTTGCTGGGATTACAGGGGCCCACCACCATGCCTGACTAATTTTTGTAATTTTAGTAGAGACGGGGTTTTACCATGTTGGCCAGGCTGCTCTTGAACTCCTGACCTCAGGTGATCCACCTGCCTCAGCTTCCCAAAGTGCTGGGATTACAGGTGTGAGCCACGGCGCCCAGCCTTTTTCAGCTGCCATTAAGAGAAGCAGGCTGTGAGTATAAAGATGCTGAGATAGATTATTGTTCCAGGATGCTCCCACCCCCATGAGGTATGGCACTTCTTCACCCCTTGGTGCTGGACCTGGTCATGTGACCTACATTGGTTCCACTTATTGGTGTGACTTGTTTTGGTCAAGTGGAAATGAGTGGTTTTGCCAGTGTAAAGACCCGAAATACACGGATGAAGTGGCCTCAGCACACTGCACTTCTGCCACCCTGGAGAAGGGCTGCCCTAAGGTAGCTGCTGCTGCTTAGGCTTGCAGCCACAAATGAACACAGGTGGAGCACACCTGGATTCAACCTGCAGCTTAGGGTCAAGCCTGGCCCAATCCTTGTTCACTGACTTCCAGCTAACCATAGGCATGTGGGAGGGAAGACTTGATTATTGTTTGAAGTGGTTGAGTTTGGGGTGGTTTGTTACGCAGCATCACTGACTGTAGCTGACTGATACAGATGCCAATGCAGTTTCACATGTAAACCTCAAAGGGTAAGGAGGGTCTGTGTGCAGTGGCTTATGCCTGTAATCCCAGCGCTTTAGGAGGCCAAGGCAGATGGATCACTTGAGGTCAGGAGACACCCCATCTCTACTAAAAATACAAAAATTAGTCAGGCATGATGACGGGCACCTGTAATCCCAGCTGCTCAGGAGGCTGAGGCAGGAGGATCACTTGAACCAGGAGGCAGAGATTGCAGTGAGCCGAGATCGTGCCATTGTACTCCAGCCTTGGCGAAGAGCAAGACTCCATCTCCAATAAAAAAAAAAAGGTAAGGGAGAACCCCTCTCCAAGTGCAGGCATTGACTTGTGACGAAGCTGCTGACAACGTGGACAGCTCTGCAGATTCCTCATTTCCATGTGGACGACTTGTCACTTCTCCAGGCAGCCTGAGACGACCGAAGAGGAGAAACCAATGTTTGGCTTGCATACTTCATCATCTTGTCCCATGAAACCCAATTCTAAAGTCAGATTAGGTTTCAGTCTAAGTGCTGCAGTGCTACCGCTGTCCACAAATTAACTGAGGGGACACTGAGTGGGCTGAGGTCACACCCTCTGGCCTGTGCAGCTGGGTCTCCCTTGAGTAGGATGACTTGCTCATCCCACGTTTAAAATGGAAATTCCCAAATCCCAGAACCCCTCTTAGTTCAGAGGGTGGGGTCACTCTATGCCCACCGAGGCCTGTGACTGGCCAGGTCTTTGACAGCCACTGTGAGGTGAATTCACTGATTTCAGAAACATTCACACTTTGAACAATCTGTGTCTTAGGATGACGGAAACATTATTCCTACAGTAAACAAGATAAAAATAGATGCAGACATTAGGATGGAAATCAGGCTGGCAAAGATGGTGTATGAAACACACACTATTTCTCATCCTCCCTCTTCAAACCCACGAGCCTGACATTCGGTGGATTTTTACAGATGTTAATCCACAAGGACAAAGAGAACAGGACAGGATATGATGGAAGGAAGATTTGGGAAGCAGGAAGAGACACGCAGCCCCTGACCCAGCAGCTCTGAGAAAGGTGAATCAGAACAGGTGTGGGGGATATCTGAGAAGCCCTCACTTACCCCGAAGAACCCCCTGGAAGAGAGATGAAGGGTACCTGGCTAAGAGGCAGTCTGGCCCTGATTCTTCTCCCTGAGGCTTATGCTGGCAGAGGAAACACAAATTTCTATGTAGTAAAGAAAAACTTTATTCAAAAGGACTATTGTGAGTGGGTGGAGGGGAAATACTATCCTAGAACACTCCGCCCGTGAGGTCTGCAAGCGTCTCCAGAGTTAGAAAGAACCTTTCTTTTCTAGAGAGGAGTAAGCAAAGCTAGAAAGAGCCAGGTGTGGGGAAATGGGATGAAGGATGGTGTGTGGCCACCCGTGGCGGCTCACACCTGTAGTCCTAGCACTTTGGGAGGCCGAGGTGGGCGGATCACTTGAGGTCAGGAGTTTGAGACCAGCCTGGCCAACAGTGGCTGAGAAGGCTGCTAAGGGGTTTTCACCACCAAATGAGGAAATAAATGAAAAGAAGGAAGGCAGAGGAAAAAGAAGCAGGGCATTCAACTCGAGGGAGAAATGAAGAGAATCCTTAGAAGGGATTCATGAAGGCAGATCCCAGGATGTAGAGGGTCACCAGTTCATACTGGGACATGTCAGAGTTCTCTAGGATAATTACCACCAATAAAATAAAGGGGTTAGAATTCTGTTGCATATGGATCTATTGAGAGGCTATTTAGACAATCAGTGGCAAATGTGAGGCTAAATTAGCAATCATAGAATACTGCATGGTTCGGTATAAATAGCTTTAGGTCTTTTATCCATGATTTTTGCAAACAATGTGGAAATAAATGTGTCACATCCTCTAACACAGCAGGGGAAAGTGAAAAAAAAATCAATGAACTGGAAACTGTACCTGAAAAAATTACCCAGAACGTGGCACAGTGGGACAAAGTGGGAGGAAATCTGAAAGAGGCATTGAGAGACGTAGATAAAGGCATGGAGCATGAATTGAGAAGCATGGACCGAGAAGGACGGACTTAGCATCCTCCATGTTCCAGGAGGTGATTAGGGAGTCCATGTGAGAAACATGAGATGTTTAGACGAATTTCCAGAATGAATGTGAGACATCAGTCCTTAAAATCAGACAATCTGATCAATTTCAAACAATAAATAAAAGAAATTCACACTTAGGTAAAGAATAACAGAGATGGGAGGAAGGGAAGGAGGGAGAAGGAAAGAGAGAGGGAGAGAGAGATGGGGAGGGAGAGAGAAAAAAGAGGAAGAGTAGGAGGGACCAATGGCTGGCTCACTAGCAAAAATGGTAGTATGAAAATACTGAAAAATATCTTCAATATGCATACAGAAAATATCTAGCAAAAATTACTTTTAAGAATGAATGTATTGCTGGGTGTGGTGTCTGATACCTATAACCCCAGCACTTTGGGAGGCCAAGGCAAGAGGATCACTTGAGCCTAGGCATTTAAGGTCAGCCTGGGCAACAAAATGATACCTCATTTCTTAAAAAAAAAAAAAAAAAAAAAGAATAGGTGTGGTGGCTCACGCCTGTAATCCCAGCAATTTGGGAGGTCAAGGTAGGAGGATCACTTGAGGCCAGGAGTTTGAGACCAGCCTGGCCAACATGGTGAACCCCCATCTCTACTAAAAATACAAAAAATTAGCCAAGCTACGGTGGCAGGTTCTTGTAATCTCAGTGACTCAGGAGGCTGAGGCACAAGAATTGCCTGAACCTGGAGGCAGAGGTTGCAGTGAGATGAGATTGCGCCACTGGACTCCAGCCTCAGTGACCAGTGTCTAAAAGAAAAGAAAAAGGAAAAGAAAAAAAATGAAAGTAAAATAAAGACATCTTCAAACATTAAAAAAATCTGCAGGAATTTGCCTCAAAAGATTGTCACTAGAGAGAATTCTAAAAGAAAGTCAAATAAGGAAGAATGATGAGCAAAAAACAGTGAGTATGTGAGTAAATTAGGACAAAACTGACATAGAAAATCAACATTTTGTGGGGTTTTAAAAGATATTTACATTATTCATCAATATCATACAGCAGGAAGAGGCTGATCAGAGTTCAGGGGCTTAAGGTTCTTGTGTTTTGTTTTTTGAGACAGAGTCTCACTCCATCACCAGGCGCCAGGCTGGAGTGCAGTGGCATGACCTCGGCTCACTGCAACCTGTCTCCCGGGTTCAAGCAATTCTCCTGCCTCAGCCTCCCAAGTAGCTGGACTACAGGCGTGTGACACCATGCCCAGCTAATTTTTGTATTTTTAGTAGAGACAGGGTTTAACCATGTTGACCAAGATGATCTCCATCTCTTGACCTCACGATCCACCCACCTCGGCCTCCCAAAGTGCTGGGATTACAGGTGTGAGCCACCGTGCCTGGCCCTTGTGTTGTTTAGAAAAAGAGTAAAGATTATGATGAATCTCAGAATTCCTTTCTAAAATTACTAGGGAAACCACTAAAGGAATAAAAATAGAGGCTATAACTTCCAAATTAATAGAGGGAGGAATTGGAATGAGGAAAAAGAATTTAATTCAACAGGAGTTAAGGAAGGTTAGAAAAAAGCAGAATTGGTAGCACAATTTGAAAGCACATAATGTGTTGGTGGAAATGAATCCAAATAGAACTATAACTACAATAAATATAAATGAAGTAAACTTGTAAAAGTCTACAGTTAAAAGTATAAAGATTGTCATACTGAAATTTAAAAAAAAATCTAGTCAGGAGTTTGAGACCTGCCTGGCCGATGTGATGAAACCCTGTCTATACTAAAAACACAAAAATTAGCTGGGCTTGGTGGTGCGCACCTGTAATCCCAGCTACTCGGGAGGCTGAGGCAGGAGAATTGCTTGAACTTGGGGGTTGGAGATTGCAGTGAGCTGAGATTGCGCCATTGCACTCCAGCTCTGGGTGACAGAGCAAGACTCCCTCTCGGGGGAAAAAAAAATCTATCTATAGGCTATTAACAATAGATACACCTAAAACATAAAGGCATAGAAAAATTGAATGCCACTTTCTTTTAGTAAAAAGAAAGCTACAACTATATCAATATCATGAGACCAATTGACTTTAGAGACTAAAAGTGCTGCTCATAATGAACAGTTCAATTAACTAGGATTATGTAACAATTACGTTTTATGATAGAAATCAAAATACAAAAATCAAACACTGAATTACAGAGAGATAAATGCACTACCATATTGGGAAGGTTGAGTATACCTCTGTCAGCCATTGATTAAGAAGATAAAAATTTAGAAAAGATGAAGAATATTTGAATAACAAAATAAGCTCAAAAGGAAAACAAAAGACAAACTCAATCCAGGTGGATGAGGAGAGTTTAATAAGAGAGAGATTTTGCAACAGCGCCTTGATAAAAAAGCAGTATTCTTACCGAGTTAAGAGACCTATAGAGCAGAGGCGTACTTGGCATTGGTTGAAGTGAACCTGTTATTCATATTTGCATTCAAAGCATCTCTAAGAAACAGGAAAGCTCCTCTTCAAAGTTTCCTTTCTTGTTAAAGAATAATCATAAGTGAAATAATAGTTTGTTTTAAACACTTTCTTCAAAGATTTCTTGCTCTTTGCTAGTAGCTCTGTTAAGTCCCACCCTATGTAGCTGTTAGACATGCTTACAGGCATGTAGTACATTCTATGTCCTGTACTTTAACCAAGATACCTGTGCTGGACGTGCTCACAGGCATGTCCCAGCTCGCAGCCTATGCCCCTTCCTCATTTGGGCTTCCTTTGTGTTCTCCATTGCTTTTACCTGTTTAGAAAAGTTTTAAGTTGTTAGCCAATTGGATTTTAGTTTAGATTGTGGGGTCTGGCTCCAACTAACAGAGATCAGACACAGCAGTAAGGACAACCCCAAATGCATAAAAGATAAATATGTCTGCTTTACCTTTGTTCATTGTACTCTTGTGGCAGATTTGCTGGTGAAAGTACCTTTTCTGCAGGAGGTAAAGAATGCCTTGCTGAGAGACCCCTTGTCCCATTGCTGATTTTTTTTTTTTTGTGGCACCAAAAATTTACATATAACAGCATTGCTGATATTTTATCAGATATTTTAACAGTAGAAGCTGTTACGAATGTTTACAAATTTTTTTTTAATATACACAATTCTAGAAATTGGGCTATGAAAAATATTGTGACAAAGTTAGTGGTGACTACCCAAACAGACTTCAGCCTCCAAGTTGTCCTGCCTTTGCTGGAGTCATTAATCAGACCCTCGAAATGTGGGAGCCCTTTGTACATCAACCTAATGTCCTGGAGAGGGACTCAACATTTTGTAAATAAGTCCTCTAAATTTTTGTTGCATTGTTTTCAAATCTGTTGGAAATCTTTAATCAATGTGTTCAATAAACAAGTGCCAAGAATTTTGAGCTTTGAAGCTCTAGTGAATTGTAATTATCAGAAACAATCTGTGCCAAGAGAGAAACATTGAATTCATTCCTACAAAAGCAAGGGAGGAGATGAAGAAATTAAATGCTGAGATCTCCAATGGTGTACGAGGTATAATTTTTAAATCCCATAATTGTTTTTGGAATATCTCAACATGTGGGGGGAAACTTTTGATGAGATTCTTAGTTTTAATTGGAAAAATTTATATGTGGTATTGGAATGGAAGGAAATCTAGAGGGTCTACTGTTTTTGTAGCATCTAAATTTGATTAAACATTTGAAAGAATAATCAGTTTTGGCCAGGGGGGAGGGGATAAGTTTTGGCTTATAAAAATATTTGTTGAAGATAATTACCCTGGATGAAGGGAGCATGATTGAATCTACAGAGATATTTGAGCTGGAATATTTACACATTTCAATTAAAAAAAAAGAACTGAGTATATCCTCCATTAAGTAGAGTTTTTTCTGAGCTCACCTATCACCTCAACGCCTGTAGGAAGAGGATTTTCTCAATTAAAATATGGTCTGCAGAGAACAGTCAACTAATGTCCATAGATGTAATTTATAACAAAAGAATGCAACTTTGAGTAAGACTGTAAGTGATTTTATCCAAGAAGTAAGAATAGAATAGACCATACTTAAGAAAAAAAAGTTTCCAGAAAAATACCAGTGGGCATTTACAGTTCCACAACTATAACAATCTTTTTTTTTTTTTTTTTTTTTTTGAGAAGGAGTCTTGCTCTGTTGCCCAGGCTGGAGTACAATAGTGCAATCTCAGCTCACTGCAAACTTTGCCTCCCAGGTTCAAGTGATTCTCTTGCCGTAGCCTCCCAAGTAGCTGGTAATACAGGCATTTGCCACCATGCCTGTATTTACAAAGTGAATTTTTTGTATTTTTATTAGAGATTGGGTTTCACCATGCTGGCCAGGCTGGTCTCATACTCCTGACCTCAGGTGATCCACCCACCTTGACCTCCCAAGTTACTGGGATTACAGGCATGGGCCACTGTGCCTGGCCCATGATTGTATTTTTAACTTTTCTGTAAATGTGTTCATTGCTAGCCTATATAAATACAGTGGGTTTTTGCATGTTCGTATCATATCCTACAACCTTGCTGAACTTACTTATTAGTTGTAGGAAGTTTTTAATTGTTTGTTTGTTGGATAGATTCTTTGGGATTTTCTACATACACAATGATGCCTCTGAAAATAGGGACAGTTTTACTTCTTATTTTCAATCTGTATGTATTTCTATTTCATTTTCTTGCCTTATTGCATTGGCTAGAACTGCCAGCACTATGCTGAATGAGAACAGCGGGAGTCGACATCATTACCTGGTTCTCCATCCTAGGGGGAAAGCATTTTGTCTTTGGCCATTAAGTATAACATTAGTTACAGGTTTTTTGTAGATACTTCCTATCAAGTTGAGGAAGTTCCCCTTTGTTCTCATTGTAAGTTTTGATCATAAATGGCCATTGATTTTTTCAAAATCATAATTCACATAACACAACATTTTAAATAAACTTAGTAGTTTTTAATATGGCCACAATGTTGTACAGCCATTAACACTAATTCTAGAACAATTCATCACCCAAAAAAACCCTACACCCATTAGCAGTCATTATCCTTCCTTCCTTCTCCCCAGAAATTAATTCCTCTGGAGTTAATTCATATTATAATTATTGATTTTTCTTGACTATTATTCTTAGCATAAGATCTTCATGGGCTTCAGAGTTTTGAAATCTCAGGCTCATTTTGTGTTGAAAGAGTTTGTCTCTTTTTCTCTCTTGCTACTCCCTTCTCCCATCTAGCAGTTTGGGGTGGCTCCATTTGATGCCTGGTCTGCAGTACAGAAATACACACACAC